AAATAGTTGAGGACTATACGTATGAAGTTGATGTCTCCAGGTAGGGAAGTCCTTAAACTGCAGCTACACCTGGGATGGTGTTAAGGAAAATCATTGCTCCGGTCTTGCGTGGTTCCTTTCTTCAACTTTTTGGCAGATACCTGCTGGTTACAGTCTTCTCTGTGGTCACGGATAACGTGCTTCATACTGTGAAGGTAACTTTGCCTGGGCTTTTTTGGTACGCGGTGTTTGAGATTGTGAAAGGTCACTTAAAGTTGTCTTCAGCGTTCAGTGGTGATACGGTTAATGAGTACAGTACTTCTGTGGGTGCCTTGATTTCCAGAAACCAAGATTGTAATCTTAGAGGGAGGGGGGGAATAAAAGGAAAAGTCCTCTAAATTTCATATGCTGGATGCTGCTCAGATGTGGAGTTCATATAATTCATCTTAGCACTCCAGTATCCTCACTGCCCCTAATTTATCGGCTTTTAAGGAATGCTGGGTTTTGTTTCGAATACCTAAATTTATGGTAGTGTTTCAGTATTCTTTACATCTTCAGAGTTAGGGTTGTTACCTGGATGTACTGTCAGCACTTAAAGGAAAGCAACTCCAGCAAACAGCACAGCTATTGCATTTGGTCCAGTGCAACTGGGGAAGGAGAAACTCTTTTGTGTGATGCACAACCCTGTTGTCCTGTCGTCGTCGCTCAAAATGAGATGGGCTGCACATGGTATCCAGTGTGTGTGTAATGCTGCGTGGCACGTAGAGCCACTGGAGAACTTCTGTTCCTTGCAAATTCTGAAAATATAATTTAAATCACAGTAGAGCTATAACATACTAAAACAAACAGGAAAAAAAAAACCCAAAACCCACAACCAGAAGAAAACCAGATATCTGAAAGAAAACCAGATATTTGAAACATCCCTGGCACAATGAAAACAACCTGAAAAAATATTTTTCCAGAATAAATATTTCACTAAGCAAATGAGTGGCCACTTGAAATGTATAACGTGAGCAAGTTCAACAAGAATTCTGAAGTCTGAGATTTTTGGATGTTTCTTTAGACTGTTTACTCTCTTTGCTGCCTCTTTCAGGCCTCTGTGTAGAAAAGACAGAAATGTTAGTTCCTCGGTGGTCGCGCTGTTCCCGTTGATCTGCCGGGCAGCTGAGGCTGTTGTGAATTTAGGAAGTTGAAAACACTGTTAATTCATACCTGATTGTTCAGCTGGCTCCAAGCAGCAAGATGCAGACAGAGGGAGGTGATGGCTGGAGATGAGGAGATCTACCATCTCCTGACCACATGCACCTTTATAAAGCTGGAGCTGTGGGAGCCCCTGCAGCATCCCTGCTCCCCCTCCTCTCCCTTAAATGCTGTAGATCTTACTGGGCAGAATTCCTCTTGAAAATTTGCAACTTCATCCTCTGATCTCTTAATATGGTTCTTTGGGTGTCCAGCCCATCCACAAGTTTATCTTTAGCATTACAAGGTTTGGGGGCGAGCATGATGTGGTTTAGGTAAATTTTTGCCTTCCCTGCTGCTCTTTGTATTCATTAACCTCCTGAAGACAAAGCTCAGAACAACTCTGTGATATTTCTGATACAAACAATTGGTATTTAGCTTTTCTTGCTTAATGCTCTCACTTTTTGTTAACTTTAGAGACATGGATCCTGTGTTGAAGACCTACCTCGGTCCCAGCCTAGAACATAGACTGGACTTTATTACAAAACATGGTCTTGGCTTTGGGGAGACTATTTTATGCATAAGAATTGTTTGCAGAATGACATTCAGTGTTATGTTCTTGTACCTTATGAAGTCCAAGAAAAAACCCAAAAGCTTACGATAAATGCTGTGTAAGAGCATTTCTATTTTAAGCATTCAAACTTGATTATTTGCTGTCATTTTTTTAACTAGAGGCTGAAAACAAAATACAATTTATTAGGAAGGTTTCTGTTGCAATAGCTGTAGACAGCGTCGTGCTTCCTTTTGAATTTCAGCATATTTCAGTGCTTAAGGTCAGAAAGGAGTTGGCCTTTGCCTGGATGATATTGCAACAAACTTGCTTGTGCCTGGGATACAGATTTTTCTTGAGTGCTGTTTTGAAAAAGTCCCTCCAGGCTGCATAGGCATCCCTTGGGGATTTCTAAATGCCTGTTTCTGCAAATTTGTTGCAAACAGAATGTGGCATTTTGAGACTGAGCCTTTTACTGTAACATATACCACACCAATGGCTATAGTTCTGCATATGTTTTCTGTTTCACTGCAGAATTGAAAAGCAGTGATTAGATTGGTTTCACTTTACAAGTGTCTTTAAAGTAATGAAACACTTCCTTAAACACACAGGCACACACAAATCTGTGCACAATCCTGACTTTATTCTGTTACCTGGGCACTTCTTAAATGGTGAAGGTTTATAACACCCATTTAAGTTTTGCTACGGGTATCCTTTCCTCTTAATAGCAATTAATAACTGACCCTGAGCGTTGCTCGCTCCCTTAAGGTGGAAAAAAGATTTTGGCAAATATCGAAATACACACTGCATGGAGAACAGAATATTAGTTGGACCTGTTGGACGCCTCGGAAGTGCTTTGAGAGGAGAAAATGTTGATGTCTAGCTTATGCTGACTCTACAAAATCAGAAGATCCTGTTTATATTTTCAGAGTGTGGTTGAAAGTTCATTCAAAATCTGCACCACGTGGTTTCTTTGTCAAAGCACGTGCGTGTACCCATGAACCTTCTGACTTCAAAGCATGATGGTATCCCTTGTGTCTTCCAGGGGAGTTTTGTTCCATTCCATACATAACTCAGAATTCTTCACGGAAATTTTCTTAATATATTGTATTATTTTTATTTCTGTTGCAAATTGCCTTGATATATTCATGATACCAGGAGGAAGGCAGATGTATGTGGCCGTTCCCTAATAATCAGAGGAGGGAAGATGAGGAATTACTTATTGACGTGTGTAATGGGACTTACTAAGAATTTCACTCATTCTCCAACTTTGGGCTGGGGGACTGTTTTGTTCCTTCTAGTGTAATCTGAGAGAGGAGGGAAGATGAGGAATTACTTACTGATGTGTGTAATGGGACTTAAGAATTTCACTCATTCCCCAACTCTGGGCTGGGGGACTGTTTTGTTCCTTCTAGTGTGGAATACAAATAAAATATTTGGTTCATAGATTGCTACTAATCTGCTTGGTGCTAGAACTTTCACAGCATCTTTCTTTCTCGGTGTAATCCACCTTTTAACCACTTTAAGATGCTCTGCTGCATAGCTGTGAAAAAAGAATCAAGAAAAAAAAACCTTGCTGGGGCTTGTTTGCCTGTATTTTAAATGAAATCATTTGTTGAGTCTGAGAGGGAAACCGTGAATCTCTGTAGTCTAAAGTATTCCTTTGCTGGAGGGAGAGGGGAGGTCGGTGCTGGCGCAGGTTGGACAGTGCAGCAAAGGGGGGTCCCGGGGGGGTTTGCAGAGAGTTCATGGGGCTAGTGGTGGAGGAGCAGTTATTGACAAGACACATGTGGCATGGTTGCCTCTCGTGGTACCCTGTGATGTTCACAAGTTGAGTATGGATGGTGTTTGGTGCCATATGTTGCGCTGGTGCAGCTAAACATCAGAGAAAAAGGTGTGCGTGAAAGGGGCAAGGTGAAAACTCCCTGTTGCTGCCCTGGAAGAGTGCTAAACCTGTGTATTTTAAATGAAATCATTTGTTGAGTCTGAGAGGGAAACCGTGAATCTCTGTAGTCTAAAGTATTCCTTTGCTGGAGGGAGAGGGGAGGTCGGTGCTGGCGCAGGTTGGACAGTGCAGCAAAGGGGGGTCCCGGGGGGGTTTGCAGAGAGTTCATGGGGCTAGTGGTGGAGGAGCAGTTATTGACAAGACACATGTGGCATGGTTGCCTCTCGTGGTACCCTGTGATGTTCACAAGTTGAGTATGGATGGTGTTTGGTGCCATATGTTGCGCTGGTGCAGCTAAACATCAGAGAAAAAGGTGTGCGTGAAAGGGGCAAGGTGAAAACTCCCTGTTGCTGCCCTGGAAGAGTGCTAAACCTGCTGGGTATTGCAGGTATATAGGAAACAAACACTTCTAGCTAATGATAATTCATTAAAATAATTGGTGATCAAATCAAATATTACTTAAAATATTCTAAAACATTTTTCTTATTTTCTTTTTGTTCAAGGTCTAATTTTCACGAGTTTGAATCTTAGGGAGATGACTAGGAGTCTGATGTGTGTTTCTTTTCTGCAAACTGCTGCTTTTATCTCTGTTTTTTAGTCTTTAAAAACGCTATAATAGCTTCCACTGAGCTGTATGTATTTTTGGGGGGGATGGTTTTGGTTTTCCTTAGGTTCTTTTTAGTCCCTTTAGACTGATAAGGAAGTTAAACAGAAGTCCTGACCTTTCTTTTCATTTAAGGGCACCCTTTCCAGGCTTGTTCCCGCAGCTGGTGTTGCAGCTCCTGGTGCTGCCCCTGCATCGTGTCTTCTGTCCTCCAGCAACACTGTCAAACAGTGGCAGAGGAAACCCTGAAACATCTCAGATCTTTTTCTGACCCTTGTAGGACTTTAAATGTTCCACACATGACCGTGTATCTGGCTAGAAAATACCCCCCGGGCATGAGTGGGCATTTACTGCGTCTCTTCTATTTCAGATCAGTCCAGAGACATATTTTAGCAGCAAGTTATTTCATGTCATTTACAGTATTTACTTTTGGATATTTCTAGGAAAACTCTCAATGTAGTGGCTTAGGTCTGACAAGACCTTGGATTGTGCAGAGATCCGGGTTGGTTAGCAATAGGCTAACGTCACCTTGGGTGTTTGACAAAGAAAAAATGTGTCAAAATGGAAGAAAAAGGGGTCTCGGTATCATGGAAAACCTCTATGAGGTTATCTTTAGACTTGGGAAGGACTTCTGAGGTAATAACCGTAAATCTTAAATTTAGTCATTGTGGTCTGAAAAACATGCATACGTACATATGTCTGTATGACATACATTTAATTTTCTGCTGTTTTTTTTTTCCTAGTGTCCCAATGTAATATCAGCTTGAAGAAGCAGAGGAGTCGAAGTATCTTTAGCACCTTATTCTGCTGCTTTCGTGACTACAATGTCGAACCACCATCTACCAATAGCACCAGTGCTCTTCCTCCTTTGGTGGAGGAGAATGGAGGACTTCAGAAGGTCAGGCTTTTATCTTATTTTGCTCTCATATGGGTCATTTGTAACCAAGGTTTAACTCTGCACTTCCCAAGGTTTGTCTTAATAGGTTTCCCTCATGGGGAATATGTTAAGAGTTATAGAAAAAATTCCCATTTTGTTGGTGAATTGCTAATACTTTCTATTCAGCTGCAATTTAAAACTAACTTTTCCATAAAGGGCATTGGCACTATGCATTTTATAAGCAAACAACATTTAAAACCTGAGTAAGACACTAAAAAAAATAATATGGACTTCTCATAATACTTCAGATGCCAAGTTCTCTCTGGCTTTGATTCTCTTTCCTAGCTACAGGAAGGTTAAAGTGTGTCCACTGGAGTGTGGTGGAACTGCTTTGAGTGTCAGTATATGTCTGTGTGACATACATTTAATTTTCTGCTCTTTTTTTTTTCCTAGTGTCCCAATGTAATATCAGCTTGAAGAAGCAGAGGAGTCGAAGTATCTTTAGCACCTTATTCTGCTGCTTTCGTGACTACAATGTCGAACCACCATCTACCAATAGCACCAGTGCTCTTCCTCCTTTGGTGGAGGAGAATGGAGGACTTCAGAAGGTCAGGCTTTTATCTTATTTTGCTTTCATAGAGGTCATTTGTAACCAAGGTTTAACTCTGCACTTCCCAAGGTTTGTCTTAATAGGTTTCCCTCATGGGGAATATGTTAAGAGTTATAGAAAAAATTCCCATTTTGTTGGTGAATTGCTAATACTTTCTATTCAGCTGCAATTTAAGACTAACTTTTCCATAAAGGGCATTGGCACTATGCATTTTATAAGCAAACAACATTTAAAACCTGAATAAGACACTAAAGTATGAACTTCTCATAATACTTCAGATGCCAAGTTCTGTAAGACACTAAAAAAAATAATATGGACTTCTCATAATACTTCAGATGCCAAGTTCTCTCTGGCTTTGATTCTCTTTCCTAGCTACAGGAAGGTTAAAGTGTGTCCACTGGAGTGTGGTGGAACTGCTTTGAGTGTCAGTAGAAAGGGTTTTCAGTGATGTAAACACAGCTCAAAAAAAGAGGGAGAACTGTAATTGTTTGGATCTTTTTTTCTAACCAGTTCACCTCCATTTAATGCATGCTGAGTCCTCAGGTATCAGCTTTTGGCCATTCTTCCAGGTTATTAAGTTTTGTTTACCTAATAAGTCAAATAAATTGATAACTTTTATCACTTCAAAGCGTTGTATGCGTGCCTAATAAGTCAAATAAATTGATAAAAACTTTTATCACTTCAAAGCGTTGTATGCGAGAGCAGCGTGTTCCTTTCATTGAGTGCTGGTAATTACATTGCTTTGCCATATTCATAAAATCACAACACAAGTAATTTTATGTTCTTTTTTTAACCTGATAACGCTGAGAGGATTTGTGTTATGTTACTGAAGAATTTCAGTTCACCCTAGCAAACACAGGGATGCCATCTTTTCCATACCCCGTGTTGTTTATACACAGCGCAAGTAATTTTATGGTTTTTTTTAACCTGATAACACTGAGAGGATTTGCGTTGTGTTACTGAAGAATTTCAGTTCACTCTAGCAAACACAGGGGTGCCATCTTTTCCATACCCCGTGTTGTTTACCAGCACTCTCAAAACTCCACCAGTGCTAGACTCTTAATTGAAACACCATTCCCATCCTGTTTTTTCCAGGAGATTAAAGGATTGTAGGTATTGGTGTATCCCCAATGGGGAATAATAGCAGAAATTGAGAAATCTCTTAAGTTTTCACCCTTCTGCTCTTCACACTAATTTTTCGTATTTGATGCAGCTGATTTCTTACCTACCTTATCCAGTCCATTTTGTTTTGTTTTGAATTTTGCTGGTTATGTTTGAATTCCCAAAAGTTCAGGAGAAATAGCAGAGGAACTGCTTGATGGGAGAGAGGAAAAGAAAAATAAATTGAAGTGACTGAGACGAAGAACACGGAGGGGGGGGGTAAAGTCTGAATGCAACAGTTTGTGCTGAAGCTGCTCAGGCAGGGGTGAAGTGCACTGAGGATTGAGAAATCTCTTAAGTTTTCACCCTTCTGCTCTTCACACTAATTTTTCGTATTTGATGCAGCTGATTTCTTACCTACCTTATCCAGTCCATTTTGTTTTGTTTTGAATTTTGCTGGTTATGTTTGAATTCCCAAAAGTTCAGGAGAAATAGCAGAGGAACTGCTTGATGGGAGAGAGGAAAAGAAAAATAAATTGAAGTGACTGAGACGAAGAACACGGAGGGGGGGGGTAAAGTCTGAATGCAACAGTTTGTGCTGAAGCTGCTCAGGCAGGGGTGAAGTGCACTGAGGATTCCTCAGCCAAGAGGAGGAATTGTATGTGTATTTTTAGATGTCATTTTGCTAGCCAAGGTATGTTTTGACTGAAAAGAGGGAAATCTAGGCTGGATGTGCTGAAGGGAAAGCTGAGTAGCGTGTAGCATGCATGCACATGTTCACCTGAGAAATGGAAGGAATGGGAGAACAGTAAAATTTCCTTTTCCAGTGTGCTGGGGAAGGAGGCAGAGGTGAAGCTACCAGCAAAATTACAGCTGAGAGAAAATGGGAGTTCATTAAAAAGAAAAACAGAAAGAAAACAACAGTTTAGGGTTTTGTTTTTTTTTTTCCTATAGAAAACATGAGTTTAAATGGTCTGCACTGTTTTTTTCCCCATAGAAAACATGAGTTTAAATGGTCTGCACTTGGTAGTTTTCAGATTGCAGTTTGTATAAAAACTTAATTACTTTCTAAATATATCTTCTGCCTTGAGCGAGCGATTGCACGTACGTTCACACGAGTTGCCATCCTCACTCTGTGCTACCTCAGTGAGCAGCTTGGAAGTTGTACATCAGCCCCAGACACAAATCACAGAATTCATAGCAGGACTAGAATACAGCTTAATGGAGTAAAAGACTTGAAGGAATATGTTAAAAAGAATTATTAAAGAGTGCTTTTTTTTTTTTCCAAGCAGAACAAAATGCACTCAGATGTGTGTGGATCTTTGTAGAAGGGATCCATTATGGCTAAGCTTTTGGGTGTTCTTAAGTGAGTGCAAATAAGTCTATAACATTCCTATTGTCAATGCAATATTGAAGCTGAATAAGCTTTGTATGTTTTTTTTATATGCTGGTTTTATTTTCAGTGCTAATATGCTTAGTGTAAATAGGAAATTCTTTTTAAGAAACAGCATTGAAGACTAGGATATATTTGCATATTATTACACTTTCAGGCCAGTGCTTTTTCCCAGGAGAGCTGTGTGTTAGGGCTATGACATTAAAGGACCAAGAATGACAAAATTACCTATTTTAGGAGAGAAAAGAAATCCTGACAACGCAATGCTTAAACTCCTCTGCAGTTTAATTAAAGCCAGGTTAAGAATAGTTTAAATTTTGTTGAGCTGCTTTTCAAATGGTCACTCACTTCTATCTGCTCTCTCTTTTGTATGTTGTATTAATTATTTATCACATGGCAGGAGACCTCTGACCATGGCCCAGTCAGTTCCTGTGTTGTGACCCTTTCCTTCAAAAACAGAAAAAGAAAATTGTGCAATAATGTTAAATAGTAACTATTAGAAACCAGTATAAAATGGATTAGATGTACTTTCCTTCTGCCCTCACTGTTCAGTAGAGTTGTTACATGAAAACTGGTGATAAAGACTTCAGAGGAAGGAAAGGAATGGAGAAAGCTTCCGCTGGTTTCACAGGAATTCAGTTTTTGTTCTGTGTTGGTTCTGGCTTATTTTTGAAGTTGGTGTGACAAACTGACCTCCTTCTAATTAGGAGTCTCAGTTTCAATGCTAATCTGCTGTAAAGGAGGGAACACAGCAAGGAGCATTTGAAAAATGAAAACACAGTTCTGAAATTGTCTTCCGAATAATTTCCTTGTGTGATTTGAAATTTTCTATTATTATTATTTTGCTGTATTAGAAAAAAATGAAATCTCTGCTTCAAATGAAATCGGTGATTCATTTAGTATTTTACCAGATGATGTGAGGTGACTATTCTTGGCAAGTCATCTGTCATGTCACTTCTTCACAAGATTGGAAGAAACACCAAACTGAGCATGGTTTTGAATAAACAGGGGTTTTCGGCCCTGACTTCTATTCCATTAGAGGGGGAAAAAAAGCCCAAAAACTTCTTTAAAGTATTGAGTTCACTTTTAAACCTTCTACTCACAGAGCAGCTGCTTGTCCAAGTGTGACTCTAATACTGGTAACAACTGTAGTTCTGTCTCTAAAGTTTCAATACAACATTTTTCAATAATAACTTGTATTTACTGCAACTATTGTATATTTGTTTTTCTTAAAATCCAGCAGTGCAGCACAAAGATGTATTGAGATGTAATATGTATTACAGTGGGTATATCAGCCTGTCTGCAGCTCGGATGCCGAGCCAGATGTGTCATTGGGAGCACACAATGTTCAGCCTCATAAAATCCTTGCTAATTTTTTCCTGCCTCCTCAGCAGCAGGCAGCTCACCAAGACCTTCCAGCCAGTGTTTTTTTAGGGGCCAGAATGTTGGAAGAGGGAAGATTTATATTTATTTTTTTTTTGTTCTGAATAAATCCAGATCTCAATTTCTGCTCTTCATTTAGCAACTTGACTCAATTTGTGTATTTTCTGAGCATGGTTCAGAGTGTATGGGGTATTTTGTTCTGCTAAGTTTGTTACCTGAGTTTTGAAGCGTTTGCAGCTACAGATTTCATCTGCAGGCTTCAAGGAGGGATCTAGGTAGAGAAAGAGGAGAAAAGCTAGGTGCAAACTGGCTCTCTCTTCCCTTCACCTTCTTTCGTGATGGGTGAGGAAGCTCTCACAAGTCTATGGGCACTTTGCCGCTTCACTTCCAGCCCACTTCCACCAGAGTCATCTCTGCTTCATGGTTAGATACAAATCAGACAGATGGCTCGTGTTCAACAAGATGAAGCATGAATGAGGAAAGGCTTTTTTTACACCTGTTGGATTAGAAGAGAAGGTCTTGATCCGCGCTCAACGGGGAAGACGACAGAATTAGAAGGCGGTTTATTCTGGGGGCAGCAGCTGCCCCCGCTGCTTTCCCTGTAACAGGCATGAAGTCAGAAAGGTCAAGTCCTTGAATTTCCACCTCACCCATCCTAACCACTGCAGAAGTTAGGTCTCCTTCTCCTCACTGCTTTTTGCTCCACGGTGCTGTCATCTCCTGGGTGATGCAGGAAAGCTGTTCGGATGACCTGTTGTCATGTCTCCAACACCTTTGTCTGCTTCAGGGGTCTCTACTTCTACACACTTGAAAGTGCAGGGATGGGATCATCTCTCTCCAATGTGAAGATGGTTCACCAGAGTGAGAAAAACAGCTTGTAGGGAGCATTTCCTTGAGGTCAGAAGTAGCATCTCCTTTATGCAGGAGACCTAGAGGAGCCACGTGAGCATGGACTCTTTGATGGGGAGTCTATTAACAGCATGCTTTCCAAACAGACATGGAAACTGGTCTCACTCCCCAGTGTGGAAGAAGATAAGTGAGATTAATGTCAATAATAGTACTTTCTCCTGCTTAACCATCTCCTGGTCACCATCAGCACATGGTCTGGCAGGTCTATTTAGGGAAAAACCCCTTTGCACAGCTGTGGTTCTTCTCTCTCTGCCCACTCATTCTGACCTTCTGTGCCTCCCCAAAATGTCCTCCATATTCAGAGGCAAAGTTCAAGAATCCAAGTCAATGAAAGAGTCAAGTAGTTACTATATTACTGGTTTTAAAGAACCTATCACGGTCTAGGACAAGCTTTCTGTTAAAGAAATGAAGCTGATAAATCTGTTCTTCTGATCAGTGGTCATTCTTTACAACGAAACAGCTCCTTATCTGAGAATACAGACTGTTCTCAAAAAACCAAAATAGCGTGGTCTTTCAGTTGGTGCTCATTGATCCCATACGTGACCGTGGGCAGACAGCGTTAATGAACGGACACGGCACTGAAAATGTTGTGTCTCTCAAACTAGAATTAAGTAGCTAAGGGAAAAGGTAGGATTTATTGTTTTCATCTGTATATATTGTGCCATGAAAAAAAAAAAACCCCTGATTTCAATAGCTGGACAAATCAGTTCCTGGGTTATCTGAGTGATACAGCGGGGAAATTCCGGCATTCTAGGAACAGCTTTGTCCTGTTACCAGCATCAGAAGTTTGTGGAAAGACTTCAACAAATGCAGTCATCTGTCATCTATTTCAAACGATAGCGTTATGACCTACTTCCCTTCCTGTTCCAAGGCACCAGGAAATGAGGCAGGACACTTTTAAAAAAGTTTCCCATAGCAGGCTTGTTTTTAAAAAGCATTTGCCTGTTCGTGAGCACTTATGCTTTACCAGCAGACTCTTGCTTTATCTTTCTGCTTGTTTTTCCAGGTGTCATCATTACCATTTTGATTTTTGCAAAGGCACTTTTAGGCTTCCCCTTAGAAAATTAGCTGCTTTTTCTTGGTTTTTTTTGATTTAAGAAACGCTGCAGGAAAAATAAAGCCGAACAGTAAGGCGTGTCTTTTAGCAACTTGGATTCTGGATTCTCATGGAAGTCAGGCTTAACAGTTGCAGCTCTTGCCTCAAGAGATTGCCACAATAGAAAGCAAGTTACTCTGCAGCGGGTGCCTCCTGAAGCCTGTGGGAAAAGCTGCTGTGATACACAGCTCTGTTTGTGTCCAAGAGTAAGATAATCTTGTACCGTACCTGTGGCTGTGCCTCTGCCTCTCATATACTGTTTTCAGTTCTTGACAGAAGAGAAGCCCTGGTTTTATTTTATTCTCTACCGGTGAATGCAAAAAATGCCTTTCAAAAGAAAACAAAACAGGGGTTGGCAACCTGTGCTCTGCCTGAGTAACTGTATCCTTGATCACAGTTTGATCTCAGGCCAGCGAATCCAAACTATCAAGCTTCTTCATAGTTCGTGGTGGTTGCTGCTTTCTACTTCCTTCATCAGCTTCTCTGGATTTTGGTTGAACTTCAGTAAAAATTTCTGCAGCTTGGAATGTTGTAGCAATAAAAAAGAGGACTTCAAAGGTGATATTGAATTACTTCTGTTTGTCAGTGATGCGTCAACACTATGTCAGACTCCAAAACAAGGGAGTGGAAGAACTTTTCAGCTGGAAGAGGATGTTTCAATGTTGAAAACAGCTCTTAATAGATAGTTAATCTGCTGATAGTCAGAATCTGTGTTCTCCAAGTAATTAAAGAATAAAATCATCTACCTAAGCAACATCTGAACTAGAAGGGTCAGCTCCCTTTTTTTTTTTTTTAAGTGCTACGCTGACCAGAAAACAAATCCTGGTTTTTGACATATTAGAAAATACAGTTCCTATTTCCCAAAATGTCTTGTGTCTTGAATTGGTGACCCCGTGACCAGCCTTCTCCATTTGGAAGCTGTAAATGGAAGTGTCTTTCTCTCCATATGTTTGGGTCCCAGGATGAGAAGACAAGGTCAAGCTGGCCAAGACTGTCTTGCCTTCTCCCACGTACAACACAAACAGGAGACCATGGGAAGAGCACTGATGCTCTTGCCTTTTTCTGGGTGAAGAAAGTGGGATTCCTTGGATTGGTTTATCATCATCGTGTCCTTCTCAGACATTTTTGCAGTTGCCAAAGTGAAAATGCTCTGTGTCCTGAGGCAGTTCACTCAAGTGAAGTTCACTTCAAGGACTGAGCTTCTGCCCTGCTCCCAAGGTCTGGCTGAGCCTCTTGTTGCCGCAGTGAAAACAGATGATATACCCACTAGTAGATCTTAAAGCTGAAAAAGTTACAGTAAATACAGGTACTTTCTTATTATCATCTCTTATTAATCATAGCATGGGTTTTACCAGTCCAGTCTCCTAAAAATCATAAATGCCAATATACTAACAGATCATTTCAGCAACTAAAATGCAAGATCCTGTTTTTGTATTTATTTTTTTTTACCCTGGTTTCTTGAATACTTTGAACTTTTGGTTTAAAATGTTTGAGTGCTACATTTACTGCTTCAGACCTTTGTTCTACCCTTTAAAAGTCATTACCCTTACAGTGATTTTTTTTTTTTTTTCTTTTTCCCCAGGGTGACCAGATGCAGGTCATGCCTATACCAAGTGTATGTATTTTTATCCCTTTTTCTTTTAATAATTTTCATAACTTTTGCTTTGATTCATCTTATGTTGCAGTCTAACAGGTCTGTTCTGTGTCGCATGTTAACAAAAGGATTTTATGTTCTGTCTGCAATGTTGTATACTCAGAGATGAATTGAACTGCACGTGTTGTACAAGGACTAAAAGAAGGGTTTGGGTTTTATACGGTTTTCATCTTGCATCTCAGTGAAATTCATTTCTGAATTTTTATCATTTTGAGAATACGTGAAGTAATCTGAAGGTTGAAGACAAAAGGTGACTCCTCATCACAATGTGGGACACAGTTACAAAAACCTTTTCCTCTATTTTTTCCCTGTATTCCAGTTCAAAAAGAACAGTTAGAAACTGCAGAATTTGTTTGAAACAAGCCACTTTTGGGAAGAAGAAAAAAGATAGGAAGATAGCTGCATTAGTGCACTCCTTTGAGATGATGCTCTCAGTATCAGCTGTTTTATGGGCCTTAATATTTCTGCTTATCTTCCCTGGATTAAACTTGGAATGTCATTTGGCATCTGAATTATTTTGCAAAACTAAATAAAAGGAAGGAATAAAACCCAGTTCTTCAAACTGAAGCTTTTAATTTAATTAGATTTAACCTTTTTTGGTCAAAAAGCTGCTGATTTTCCACTTGGTTTTTATGTGGATGAAGAGACAGGCTTTTAAAATCTGGAAATACAGGAGTTTTTGAGCTCTTTGCTGTTTGTAATACTTGAATATTGCGGAGTTCTCCAGGAAGCAGCAGTGCTGATGTATGGAGTTACTGACACAGCCCCCTCTTGAGATACTTGGTAGCCCCTCAAGACCTGGCTATTCCCCAAAATACCATTTGTTTAACTCTTTCCCTTCCTTCTCATGTAGCCCAGCATTACAAGAGCTCCTATAAGAACCCTGTCCCTGTTGCCATGCAGTGGTGTCAGGACATCACTTATAACTGTGCAGATCACTTCCCTCCTTCACCACTTTTTCTTGGGTTTAAGAACTGTTAGAAATTATTGCTTACCAATTTATCTACCCATCATTTCTAATAGGAAGTTACTTCTCATATGGCTCATGCGTATGTTTGTTTGCATGTGTGTATGTAGACACACACATGTACATGCATGTGACTTGTATATATGCAGGTCTGGGCATAGAAAATTTTGGATGTATGAAAATATTGATTTCTAAATTACTTTTCCTTTTACATACCTGCCAGGTTCTGTTGGGTGCCTGTGGTTGCTCTAGTTATTTGAATGTAAAACTTGTTCTGGCTGTTCTCTGACCTGGAATAAAATTTTGTCTGAGTGTAGGTATTAATGAAACAAGAATTTGAACAGAACAAAATTTTGAAGCTACAAATGAGTACAGGTACAGAGAGGGAATGAGATACTATGATAGAACACCATCTTTCCTCTGTTAGATTTGGGTAGTGGTAGGAAAACAAAGGATTCTAGAAGGGGATGGGGTTTGGGAGGTTTTCTGGGTTTGGAGGTGGCTTTTTTCATTATTTTTTTTTTTTTTTCAGTTGTAGCCTGACTGCGATTTTGCTGACCTGTATTCCCAGTACTTTATTAAGGCAGTGAAATTAACTTTGCAGTCATGATGTAGAGTTCTCAGGGAGCGGGTGACATTAAACATGCCCCTTCCTCTTCTCCGGTGCCATCTGATGCCTCCTTCCACCAGGACATACATGTGGTGTCAAGCAGCCCTCGCCCCCAGGCACTTGTGTGACATTTACTGTCCCGGTGTCAATAGAAGCCAGCAAGCATTAGTAAGTCACCTTCTAAATAAAGACAGAAGTGAGCTGCATGTGGAGAAGGTGGTAGGAACGAAGACGCGAAGCCCACGTTATATTTTAAAAATGCCCAAAACTAAAGAGGTCCTTTTTGCCGGTCTTACAAGGGCTGTTTGTCCTGAGCGTTTACCCTGAGACAGCTCTTAACCATGTGTTTAAGACCCATTAAGGCAGAAATTCTTGATGCTCTGCTTCACGGGGTCATGGCTGAGGAACGGGCTGGTTGAACTGCCTGGATTGTACATACCAGGAGAAACATCTTCTAAACAGACCCAGAGAGAGCTCGGCCACAATCAAGTTGGACAGTTACTTTTTATGGGGCTCACTGCAAATGTAATCACTTCAAGTGTTTAGTGAATTCCTTAGTGACTCTGAGAAGAGCACTGCCCACTCCCTACTCATTAAACGTTCAAGTTGAAGCCTCCAGTTGAAATATCGAGGTTTTCTGGAGCTTTATTGTGCATAAAGTATATGAAATCTGCCAGTCTGCTGAGGTCACCTGGTTGAAAACTTCCATTGCCTCACACAGATAGGTGCAATATCAGTGAAGTCTGTCTTCTGCTGAATCACAATTTTCCTATATTAATTGCACTTAATTTAAAAACTTGAAATAATGCAAATCTTGGTAATTTATTGATGGAGATAACTGCTAAGCAAAAAAAAACCACATTCCAGCTTCAAGCTGGATTCTTCAGAAAACAGAAACCGCGTGACTTTGTTTTTTCAAAGATGAACTTTATCCTGTTTGTATCTCGCATTCTGAAGCTGGTTCCAGATAAGGCATAGATTAAACAGCAGCCTAATTGATTTTTTTCCTAATACTGCAAAATGATTTATTTTTAGGGCTGAAATAAACACACGCAAAACTAGAAAAAAAAAAAAAAAAATAGCAGCTGAGAGTTAAGCAGAATAGTAATCCATGGAGTTTTGTGATAGACTTGATTTAATCAAGATACAGTAGGTGTTGCTCAGAACCCCTCTGCTTTCTTTGATTTTTCTTAGCTTTGTTGGGAAAGGAATATGGCAGAGAAATCAAAGTAGACCTGTAGCAACTTCAGCACTTGTTTTCATTCTTTTGAATGAGAAGGTAGATGGACTTACAAAGCCATACCCCGACACCCGCCTAAATGAGTTGGGGTGTCCATTTCTTTTGTAAATCCCAGTATTGAGGTGTGGAACCAAAAGCAGTCCCCAGAATCCCTGAGAACTATATTGTTCCTTCACTTGTCCTCACCTACATTTAGACAATTTCTTACAGTAACTTTTTCTAGAAGAAATTCTGTGAACTCCCTGTTCCACAACAGGAGCTGGCGTCTTTTGGCAGCTGTGTTTTAAGTGGGACTAATTTATCATCTATTAGAGTATTTCTATGCAGAACTGCTGGTAGAAGCTGTTGGCTACGCAGAGTGTGAATTGGAGGGACCGTGAAGAGGGAATTAACGCGCTGCACTTACGCTGGGCAATATTTCCAGTATACAAAGAAAGGGCTTATTCTGATACTTGTCTCTGTGGGAAATACGGGCCTGCAGGGAAGAAAGGTTATAAGTGTTTAATACAGTAAATTTCTGAAGGGTTTGTGTTGACCAGCTGTTTATGCTTCAACCAAAAGTCCTGTTTTTTTGCCACCACCACCCCCTTTTTTTTTTTTTTTTTCTTAGGGAATATACTATTGCCGCAGGACTGAAGCAGTGCAGCAGTCGTTTCACTACAAGGTCTGTTAAGCTGATCAGCCATGAGACCTGGCTGGAATGCATAAATCCCAAACAGTGACTAGTTTAAAAGCTTTAACTTGTATACAATTTATTTCTTTGTTGGAATTGAAGACCAAGCTAGGACTTACAGTACTGAGATGCCACTCGTGTTCTTTTTCTGCTGAGTTCTGTGGAAGCCTGCAGTCTTTTGGAGAGTATTACACTGTAAATATGAGTTTCTGTTAGCCACAATTAAATGCTCTTAATCATCTCAAATGTCTTTAAACCTACTATGTTTAAAAAAGGAATTATCGAAGATCCATAACTATTTGCTATTAGCTATGATGGAAATCTGGTAATTGCAGCTCTTCTTGGGTATGTCTCCATTAGTGAGGAAATTAAAATACAATATTGAGTAATGCTTGTTTCTGCCTAAAAGCTTTGCTACTCTTGGCATGTGGAAATTGCCTTAGATCAGAAAGCTTCAATGGCAAAACAAATGAGCTGATGCCTGACATACAAATCCTTTAAGTTTCTAAAGCCTCAAAAATGTCATCCTTGCTCCAAAGTTCTGCACCAGATGTTCACCAGTCTCACCACTGGTAGTGCCTTCAGCTGCAGAATAGTTTCCTTGTCCCTGTTAGATCATCAGGTGGCAAGTGTGTTTTCAAAGTCAAGAGTAGCAGGGACACAGGTTTTGAAATGGAAAATCACTTTTTTTCCTGATCTTCAAACGTGCAGACTGTTGACCAGATGTCTCTGAACACAGGATCAGATTGAAGTCAAGAAGCCAAAACTTGTAGGAAGGTTGGTGTGCCCTAGTGGGAGACTTTCCCCAGGAAAAACCTTGAGTTGTAGTCCTGTTAGGTACAGCTGGGTCATATAATTACACATTATGTCCTAAGGCAATTCTGAAAAGGGGAGGAAACTCTGGGGGTCACCAGGATGTCCCTGTAGATACGGCAAGTGAGCTTGTTCCTCTCCCAGTTGCTGGGTTTGGGAGAGCAGAGCTGCAGGTGGGTGAGGAGGATGGGACCAGGCTGGCCCCCACCTGCAGTCAAGAAATGCAGGTTCACAGAGTTGGAGATTCTCGCATTTTTGGGTAGTCCTGGGTGTAAGTTCATCCTTTGCCTGATGAAAGGCATACTAGTTTTCAGCTAAAAACCAAAGGTATCTGTGATGTGACAGTGCTCATATTTTTCACATGCATGTTTTTATATGAAGGAAGGCCTATTTCCATATAATTTCCCTATACACATATTTTCAGTTTGACAAAGGATTCATATAGAGAAGGTATTGCTGGCTCTGAACTGCTTGTGCAGATTAACTTAGGCAAAAATTCAAACTAAATACTAGGAGTCTTGAGTACAAAAATGCACTGAACTGTTCTTTTAAAAAAAAAAAAAGTGTGATTAAGGTTTCTTGAGATGTCCCTACCTTTTTCTCTTCAAAGACAAGAGATCAGTATCAGAACATGGGTTCTAAAGATTATCATCTCTAAATGGGTTTGGTTTTTCTTTCACTAAGCTTTTAGTCTATTTAGGTTGTAAGTCTGGATCCTTCTTGCTGTGAAAAATTGAAGCGGGGACCTAAATACCTTTTAGATTTTGAAACAGGAGGGGAAAACCTAAATTCCTTAGATGTGTTGCAGACACGTGAAGATAGAGCTCAAGCAGTTGTGGAAGGAAGGTGTCCATAGGGCTACAATCTGGAAAGGGTGTCCTATAAACTTCAGTCTGGTTCTTGTGATGGATGCATATTCACAGGCATTAAGCAATTTTTTCTTGAAGGTCACTTAGATTTGTGCTGAGAGACAGCGTATTAAGACAAGTGCCTTGTAGGCAAGGCAGCTTCCACTTTGGTAGCTGAAGAAACTGTTATTGATGTTAATTGTAAGGAACTAAATTACTTTCCTTGAGCACTCCTAAAATCCCCCAATAACTTATAGTTTAGCTAAAAACGCTTTTGCTTAAATCCAGAATCTCATTTGTTAGTTACTTCATTTAAACTAGAACTTCTTAGGCACCGCTGGCCGGTATCTCTCAACTTAAGACGATGTCTGAAATCAATCAGTGGTTAATGAACAAGCTGTCTCTGCTGCTGGAGGGTGTTTGGAGGGTGTCAGTCTGTTTGTCACCCCCCATCTGCAGAGGGGTGGCACCAATCTCTGCAAACGCCTCTGCAAAAGGCTATTGAAAAGAACAAATCCCACGACAGATGCATCCGCACCAGAGCAGCATTGTCTGAACAGATAAAAAGATAGCAAAAGAATGAACTTGGAGTTCTGTATCCAATTCTTAATTAATTTAATTTCCTCTCAGTCTTGAGCTTCTCCCTGTTGATGCTCTTCTATAGAGCTAGGCTTTTTCTTTCAGAAAAAAAATAATAAAAAGACCCCAAAAACCTCTTTAAGCAAGGGGCAGCAGTGTTTCAGCTCCAAATGGAAGCATTTTCTCCCATATTTGCTAATTCAAGACATTCAGTGCTGAAATCTAAAGTAGCCTAACTGTATTGCAGGTTGGGATGTTAAAGTGGGAATGAGTGATCAGAAGACCACGTGTCTGACTGCATTGCCTTCAGATAAATTGTCAATTCATGTAATTGGTACCATTTTTAGGAAGGGCAGCGGGCTGTAGGAGACTGGTTCAGGAGAGCTTCCTTTACTGCAGTTTTACTACCTTGATTGGGAACGTAATTCACAGGAAAAGTCATGGTCAGCACCCTCAAAAGTGGTAAAAATGAGTGGAGACATGTCCTGGAAGATCAAGTTAGTAATGGAGTCTTCCTTCAGAGTTGGTTTCTCCACTTCAGCTTCATTTATAGCAAAGAGAAATAACAATTTGTGTAAACGTCCCTCGGTGTGATGTGGCTGGAAATGGCACTGACTGAACAGGGTGACACAGTGTCCAAACCCGAGGCCTTAGGAAGAGGGTCACTGGAAAAGATACTGCATCAAACATCCTATTTTTCTCAGTTATTTTTTTAGTTAGTGGTGCTGATTTACCACTTTCATTCCCAGTGCTTTGGAGATCATTCTAAACAAGTTCCTCATTTACAAAAAGAACAAAAAAAAAAGTCCATATGGGTCTTGCATGAGCCATTAATTTCCATACATGTACTTGTGATGAGCCCAGAAAAACATTCAACTTCGAGTCATGTATTTCAGTTCCCAGTAACTGCAGGAATAGTGATGTTGGCAGAAGAGTTGCCCTTTCAATAGAAGTTTTACTTTTTTTTTTTTTTTTCTGTTGTCTTCCTTTCTTCTCTTTGTTTCTAGCCACCAGCTAAATACCTCCTGCCAGAACTGACAGCATCAGACTATGGGAAGAAGTGTGTGGTCATTGATTTAGATGAAACTTTAGTGCACAGTTCATTTAAGGTAAGTAAATTCAAAAGCCATCTCTTGCAGCTTGAATCTGTTGGTGAATGTGGTAGGAACTGTTAAACCTCTTAACACATTAACTAGTCTTACAGGCTCTCCCAGGGCGCCTGGTAGTTCTCACTGTTACTCCTATGATTATTCATTCTAATTTAGCTGTAAGAGGAGTAATAGACACTGCTATTTTTTTTTTGATTCTGAGGAAGTCACACCGACTGCGACAAAGCCTGGAATAGTTATTGACTTTATGGCCATACATGATAATTAGTCCAACAAGGACCTGTATCTTAACAGGAACAAAACTTTTTGATCTGAAAATACGGGCTTGTTTTTAATGTTTAAGTGATGCCATAGTTAGTCTAGGAATTAAGCTTAGTTTTATGCTGGGTAGATGTACCTTAAAACAGTAGATTTGGGGCAGCAGTGTTTGCTGTGCTCCGTTGCTGGAGAAGATTTCTTTCCGTGTCCCCATTGCAGTAAATATTTTTAAGAGTTTAGCTTTCACAGCAGGGAAGCAAATAGCATTTAGCTGCTGCTGATGAGTCAGTCATCTTGTAGAAGCAACTTCTACAGCTCTTCAGAATTCAGCATGTGGTGGAAGTAGTGGTATTTTTCTATTGTTAAGCAGGGCTAAAGTTAGAAGAAGAGAATTCAGAAATACAAATAACCTACATTGGCTCAGAGTACTGGTAGTATTTCTGTTTAGCAAATGTCAGGCACGATAAAGCATCTGCTAGTTTTATACTTTGATGCTGGAGAAGTTATAAGAATCACTATTACGTTTCCTTACTGGTAGTAAGCTAGAGATACCACCAGCTTTATAGTCTTCCAGTCTTGGTTGCACTCCATTTTTCACTGCTAGCATAAACTCACCATTTTAATCCTGCAGTATTTAGTTGCCAGCATTTAAATATGCAAACCATAATTCATGGTGCGGTTAGAATTTGGCAACGGCTTGTCTTTGTTGACTTAAAGAAGACCTTATATGGAGATACTAGAACAAATATTGCTGTGCCTCAAACTGAAACTACGATTCTGCCCTGTCTTTATTGTGCCTAATGGTGTATACCAATTAGTGGTGCGTACAGGAACCTCTTAACCTCAGTGCCAGATCCTTGTCTTCTGTGCCCAGACTGAACTTGCATTTGAGAATATTTCAGGGAGACTAGAAACGCAGCTGGATTGGGAAGGGGGCCACCATGCCTTCTTAATTAAACTGGAGTCAAAAATAGGAAGGGAAAGCTGGATTTAAAAGTCTAAGTTTACATAAAAATGATGAAGTATTTGGCTTAGTGTTATCTGAAATGTAAAAGTTTGTTTTCTGAGTGCTGTGGGTAACTGCGTACTGTGATTTTTTTCTGGATTTTGAAACAAAATGAGATTCAGTGTAGGTGGTTATTAATTTTTGTAACCATTTTCAAGGAATACATATTTAATGGTTGACAAAGTATAAATCCTTTCTTGTAGCATTGAGGTTTGCTTTTATTGCACAGTCCTTTCTTAGTACACTTGTTTTAATCATCCCATTTATTGAAATGACATTTAATGGGTATTTAAATGATGCTAAATAGATACTTTAGAAAAATCAAAAGGGCATTCTGCTTAGTCTTGAACAGTGAATAACATTTTTTGTGTTGGGGAAAGAAAACTGGTCCTTCTTTCTGTGAAATAAATAGTGTGAGGCGAACACTGGCATTTCTGCAGCATTGGAGTCTTACAGCTACGATGGCATTATTTTAACATGGAGCCCTGTGATGGGAGTATGTAAGAAAAAACCAAGTGTTGGAGGAAATGACTTTAATTTTTAGTGCCTGGCACTGTCCGGTGGCGTCGCTTGGATTTTGTTTCACAAGGGGAGATAAGGCTGTTGTGGTCATCAAAAATACGATGGATTTCCAGAGGACCAGGAGTCCTAACACCTATGTGCACGCTGCTCTGCCTCAATAATCAAATTACTTTTGCCATTTCTTTTAAAACATGCCTGCTCTACCAGGCAAGTCCCCACTTAAAAGCTGGAAAAGCATACATGAATTTGTGATTTTAGTACAAAAGGCTTTATTTAAAACACATGATGTTTTAGAATTCATAATTCTGTTATGAAATAGGCTTCATATTTCAAATGCAGATAATTTTTTTTTTTCTTTTAACACAACCAGAGAGGCAGAGTATTTAAAGTGCTCTTTTTTGAAAGCAGCAACATCTGAAGGAGGGTAATTCTGGTCTTTTTATGCCCTTGCATATTTGTGAAGCTTTAAGGAGGTACTAGTCTTTCATGTTAAGTGCATATTAAAGGAATAAAGTTCGGGGTGCTTTGGCAAGAGTAAAAAAGGAATAGATAGACATTATAGTTATCATTCCCATCATAAAACAATAATAGAAGCAAAAATCATAAATTATTAAATCAAAGAGATGTAAACATGGCTTTGTATAAAATGAATTAAACCACATGCAAGTCTGGAATGTAGTCATATTCAAAACTGGCTGTGAAACTCTTTTTTAGAACATGTAAAATTCTGAAAGACTCTTGCTAAATGGAAACAGTTCTAACTGAAGTAAAGCTTTTCAATGGAAATACATTGTCTTCTTTGACGCTCTCTCTGCGGTTCCCACCCGAGACACGTACGTGCTCCACGTGTGCAACCCCAGAACCCTTTATCCAGCAAACTCTTGGAGGCTTTTCTCCTGTCCTCCCCCCGTGATGAAGCACAGAAGCCCTGTCCATGCTCTCCTCCTTATCGCTTGTGCCCACAGGAAAACTACGTAGCGCCTACAGTACAAGTGGGGGAAGCAAATACCTAGTTAAGAGTAGCTTGGTCAGTTTTACAAAGTCTAAGGGTGAGTTTTATTTGATAGCAAAACTTGGGTTGTCTAAACAGACTGTGGTTTTCTCTGACACCTGGTTGGTGTTGCTCCTGTTGAGAAGGTTCAGTAATAGCTATGTTTTTATCAGTGGGCTTCAAAACCTTTGCGAATGGCAGTGACCTGTTCTTTTTCTGCTGCTACAGAGTATTTATCCAGCTTAAGGGAGTTCATGCAGATATAAATTCTTCAAGTGTGTGCAAGTCTCTTCAAGGTATGCACAGAGCTGGCACCCAGTTGAAAACTCTGGTGGCTGAGTCTTATTGACAGTTCATTTGGGTTTCTTTTAAGGTGAAGCTTCAGAACGTATTTGTGTGCTTGTTTGGTGGTTATTAGAGAAGCTGCAGAATATCCTCTCTCTCTGAGGGGCTCCATGCAGGTGACAGATGGGAGCCTCCTCTCTGTCTTTCTCAGAAGATATACCTTGGAATTTGCTTGACGTCAGCTAAAAAAAAATAGATAAATATCTAGATTGTATTTGTGGGTATCTGAGGAATTCTTTCGGTCATCAACAGGATGGAGTTCTCCAGCGTCGGCTGCTCTGGAGGTTTGGTTGCCAATACTGGTTGGTTTCAGTGGATTCAGTGTAGCTTCTCATTTGCCCTCCCACGCAGCACTCGCAGACATCAGATCAAACCATCTTCCTTATTAATTACTTTGCTACTCAGAGAAGCTGTTACCCTCCATATAAATTCTTCTGGTCACTTTGCTCTCCTCGCAGGAAGGTCATTTGACAGTCAAATTAGAATCACGTTTTTCCAGGGAATGGGATCAAAGTGATGCTGTCAGGTTCATACTGCAGGATTCTTTTTTCCTACCAATTTTCACATAGCACCTGTTTAGGCAAACTGGTTTGTGATCTGCTTCTCGGTCTCTTTACCTTGGCTGCTCCTCTGCTTTCTTGGCACCCTTTTGTCCCCCTGAATGGATTTGAAGATTGTTTCTAGCCTTGCAGATTCTTCAGAGGCACGTCCTTGGTGGTGCTTGAGATCGGTCTGTTGGCTGATGCAGAAAACCAGGTGGGAAAATCTGTGCAAGTCTGATCCAGAGCTGAGTGAAGATGTTTTCCAGCCTCAGTAATACCATATCACTTACCAGCCAAACTACTCCCAGCCTTCGTTTTAGGCTGTTGGCCATGAAGCATATTGTCTGTTCATCACTCCCCTTAAAATCTATATTTGGCAGCTCCGTGCCTCAGCCATTTCCAAGCTGCAGATCATTGGGCGAGTTACAAACTACAGCTGGGCATGTTTACATGATTATTTTTTTTATTTTTTTTATCTCGGATGTAATGCATGAGCCGTACCGAAGGACTCTGCCAAGTTTGATGTCCATTTGAACTAGTAAACATTGCTAGCAGCGTGTCCCCTGACCACCGCCGCTGCCTGGCCAAGACCAGACCATGTACTCTTCAGCTGGCTACAAGGAGGCTTTGCTGCTTCGCCAAAATCATTTCAGCTTTTCGCAGTAAAGTCTTAAAAAATAAGTTTGTATTCAACAGAATTGGAAAATGGATTCAAGGACTTGGGCAGAGCATGCCTGCTCTTCCCTTTTGAATTAAAATGCCATTTTACGTGATTAATTTGATCAGTGTGGCATGTTCTTTTGAGGTGTCACATCTTGAGAATCGTTTAGCTGTATGAACTAAGTCTTGTTGCAGCTCCTGATTCAAATATAACCTTTAGGTATTACTTTTACCACTGTCTTTATTTTTAATTAATTATTAATTGATGACCCAGAGCAGAATATGTGACGCATGTAGCTGAATTCCTTTGGCATCATCCACACAGACTTGATGAAAGAGTTATCAAAATAGATTTTTACCCCAGTAGTGGGTGTTATTCAAGCAGCAAAGTGTATTATGTTGTATGAAGCTTAAAAAGATGAGGGAAGAGGGAAATACAGTATTTGGTGAATAGGACTGCGTAAGGCTTCTGACTTGTGTCTGTAAAGGGCACACACACAGAGTGGATTTGTGTAATTAATAATGCTTATTGCCTTGGTCCTGAGAAGTAAGTACTCTTCTCTTTTACGCCTCTGAAATTTTCCCTCTAACGATTGTATTTTTAATATTGATTTATTTCCTTGTCATTCTTTCTAGCCAATTAGCAACGCTGATTTCATCGTTCCTGTTGAAATCGATGGAACCATACATCAGGTAAGCGCTGGTTTTCCTTGTTCTAGTAGTGGAACTGTCCTCAGTGTCCCTGAGGACCTGTGTCCTCAGAGCGTTGTCTTTCTCCATTTGCTGTATTACATTCAATAGCTTGTCCTTTTGCAAAATACAAAAGCTGTGAGCTTTGGAATGTTTCATGCAGACAGGAAATCCCTATTTGTTCAGGTCTATGTCGTTTCTGACCCCTAAGTCTTGATTTTAACTTTTCTGGTTCTCCAGAATACCTCTCTCAAGATTTCAGTACTTGACTCTGTCAATTTTAAAACATATTCAAACAGGATTTAAGGATGGGTTTTCAAAAGTTGCTGGGTCCCGAAAAAACTACTTGACTACTGCGTTTTTCATTCCCTCCAGGATATAAGTTGTCTTCAGTGTCTGTTGGTAGTTCACATGGACAAAGCTTTATAAAAGTATTAAGGAGGAACAGACAATCTGTGTTTAAGTTCTGTCCTGTTTTCTTTCTGTAAGGAATTTAAAGTTCCTCCAATAGGACTTTTTATACACTCCAGCATCTTTAAAAGGTCCAGACAAAATTGCAAGGAGACTTAATTTTTATCTCTTATTCTTTAAGAACTTTGCTTAAGGCTCTCTGAAATGCTTTTTCAGTAAATGCAAAACACTCATAATTTGAAAATCAGTCCCCTTCATGTATCTTAGCTTGGTGCCTTTAATCAGTGGTCATTTCTGAAAAAAGTTAAATGAAATAAATTACAGTGCTGTAAATGTTTCTCTTCAGACAGACATTAAAGTTCTTGCTGGAGATGAGTTTTGCTGGTTAATGTGAAGTTGAGCCTTTCTGATGTATGAATCCTGCAAATCGTTGGAAAGTTCTTTTGTTGGTTGTTGTAGGTTAAAGATAATGCAGTTACTGAGTTGCAGATCTTCCCTGAATGTAATTTAATGGAGAGTTTAAATACTTAAATTTTTGAAATGTTGTCTTTTATATGGATTATTTTTACTTGGACAAATCGTTTCATATTTTGATCTTGGAACAATCAATGGAACATAAAGTCAGTTCATAGTTTTGTTTGATTCCATGTTATGAAAACCATCCGTGTGATCGTCACTCTTTAAATAATTACTAATTATGTCAGTGGACTGAAATGTGTTTTAAAGTGATAATTGTTTGACAGTTTCTACATTGTGCCTGTTTTATGTAGGAAAATTCAATATCTAGGGTACTTAAACCCATAATGTTCCCCAGAGCTGAGCGCTTAAAACACATGAATGATGTTCTGGGAGATTTATATTGTGATATCGTCTGCCCTCATTTGAGGGGGGCTTTAATTGTGTTTAGTGCTGTAATGCAGACGTTTTCTCTCCTATAACTTTCTGGAATGCTTTTGAAAGGGAATATAATCGGTTGCCTAACAATTTTGAATGGTTTAGGATCGTCATCACTTCGCTTGTCAAGATTATGTATTTACAGTTTGAAACAAAGCCCTGTTTGGGCTTTAGTGTCTTCAAAAAAGCACTTAAAAACCTGTTGCTTTTCCGTTCTCCACTGCAGACTTTGAGATTCTTCACCAAACATAATGCAGTTAGGCACGTGGAGAGAAAAAAAATAATAACAAAACAACTGGTTAAAGGGAGTAGGTTTGTCCATACCCTAAATGTGAACAGGAGGAAAATTGCTCTTGACAGAGAAGATCAAGTGAAATTGGTCTCTTGACTGTGCTTTGCTGCATAATTATGCTTCCTGCATAATTTTTAAGGAAATGCTTAATCACTTTGTATTTCAAATTCTTAATCTCTAAAATAGGTAAAATCTGAGTCAGATCTGGATGGTTGAAATGAAGTTAATTGTGAGGAATTCATAATCTTTGAAGTAAAGGTAATTTGTACAATAGGCAGAACAGGCAAAGTCTTGAGTTCCTGTGTTTGTAATACCTTTGCAGGCAAAGTAATGTACTATCATCCAGCACTCTTCTTTATTTTAAACTGTGATAATCTGAAGGGTGAAAGCAGACATTCTGGCTTAGTCTGAGTGTTAACACAGGCTGTAGAGGTTTGACAACCACTTCCTATTTCAAACCTGTAATTTTTTTATTCACTTAGAGCATAAACCAAACAGGTATCAACATATTTTTTTTTATTATCTATCAGAATTTGTCATCTGTGTAATGTCTGTCCGTTTCCTTAAGCAGTTGATATACCCAGTGATTGGGAAATGCTTCTACCTGTTCAAAATATCACAGGGTATGTGAAATATTATGGAACCACCCCATCCGTAGTACTTATCCCCACCTGCCTTACCAGTAACCCTGGTGTCCTGTCGAGCAGGAGATGGTCTGACAGAGTATTGTTGTGCTTGAACTCTGCCTGAGACAGAACCCCGAGGAAACCAAACAAGAGAACACCATTTCAGAAGTGTCCATTCAGAAAGCAATTTGAAATTACACGAGATTCTTCAGATCTCATATAGCACAAATAACAAGCTGTGGCAAACTCAGTTGCTGTTGCTTGACAGAGTTTTGAAGACTGACTTATCTAACGAGTTTTGTTTGTGGTAAATGTTGTAATTTTTTGTTGTGCAACAGAGGTATTCAAAAAAGGCTGCCTTTAGTTTGGGGAGTTTGTTGTCCTTTGTGTCATTTATAATCCAAAGGTCAGAGAGACTCTTGTTCTTCTGCAGGGAGGAAAATTCACATCATCATCTTAAAGGGTGTTTGGGTAAACTAGCTTCCCTAGGTTAAAAAAATACCTTTTCTGAACACTTCTTGTCCCTCTTCCATCTTTCTTTCTCTAGTTTAATTTACCTTGTCTTTAGAAAGGCTTTGTCATTTTTATTTCACGAGGAAATAACTCATGTGTGGAGGTTCCTCTCTTCCCTTCTGTTGTGGGGCTGGGCTGCCCGCAGAGACTGTGCCCATCTACGGGGCAGCTGAAGTGATGGGAGATGAATCCCATGCTTTGTGTTGGCAACGATGGCACAGAGACAAAAGGGCACCTCCAACACAAGCTGACACTCTTCTGGCTGCTTCTCTCCTTTCTCTCCCTGCTTCTCTGAATAAAAAGAAATCAGAGCTGGTCCCCTCCTCTACCAAATTGTAAGTGAGAAACTGAGGGAAATGTGTTGCTGCTGAGAGCACACTTTGGAGGAAGTTTATTGAGGATGAAAGTAGTGGCTGGAGGAAAGATGTTCTACCTGTTTGGTACCCTTGGTGTAACTTCTGCAAGAACACATCCTCTCTTTTGGAGCCTGCTTCCCAGTTAACGAGCGCAGAGCAATCGCAGGCCCCAGATCAGAATCATGTGTTAAATATAGCTTTAATCCCCAAGGGGTAAAGATTTTTAGGGTGTGGTGGTCCTTTGTCCTTCATCCAAATTGAATTTCATTGCCTTTGCGCCTTGTTGTCGGTGTCAGAGAGTAAAGAGGGCGGCCAGGAAGAGTTTGATTTGGCCTTACATGAAATTTCATTCTCAAATGTAATCTGTGTGTTGAGCAGAACAAGTTTTTAAGTGTTTGGACTTTTTTAAATTCAGTTACTAATTGCTTATTTTCAGTTGTTGAAAGCTTGGGAAACGTTTGACGTGTCTACTTTGAATGTTATGTACAACATGTTTTTTCTAGCGGTGGGGGGAAAATGCTGTTCGAATGATAAACTTTCTTTCTACAAAGGACTAAATTCCTTAATTCTCCAGCAGAAGGCTGTGGCCTGGTTCAAGTAATCCAGGATAGGCTGTATCCATTCTAACTGGCCTATTCTTGGTTACTTGCACTGGGAGGCAACCACGACTGTGTCAACCAGAAATGGCTGGAGAAAGGATGTTGGTTTCTGCTCGCTGTAGAGAAGATGCTCCCAGCCCACGAGACAGGAGTTTGGAGGAGCTTGAGTTGTCACAAGCATATTTCTTCATCATTATTGGAAGATTTCCTTATTGTAAAACTGGTTTTGAAGGGCAATTCTTTGCGTCCTATTTAATTGATTAAAATGGATCTGGGTTTCTCTTTTGGTTTACAAATAACCATGTCTTTTTTAGGGTAAGGCTGCTTTGAGGTATAGAAAATGTACGTGGAAATGCCAAATGTTTGAAAACAATTAAAGATAATTACCTGTGTTCTGACAATAGCAGCTGTAAGAGCAGAATCTTGTGAAAACATGCCTAGTGCCTGATTTGTGCTTTTACATTTTAAGAGTAAGGTTCGTTTTAAATAAAAAAAAAGAAGAATCTATTCCCCTAAATTCTTGCTGCGATAAGGAAAAAATCAGTGAGCGTACTATACAGAAAAACTGGAGGGTTTGTTGTTTTTTTTTCATGCCCTGAAGACAGTATATAAATCTCAGAAAAATGCCAGGAGCCAGTTAGTCTAGAGACTTAAACTGAAGACATCAGGCAAGGGAGGAAAAAGCCAAGCCACAAATAACCATGCGGCATTGAGATGCAAGTCCAGCCGCTAACAAAGTGAAGGGGGAAAAAATTCCAAATGAGGAGGAAGAGGAGAAAAGAGCTGCACTGTCAGCTGAAGAAAGCTTTTTATGTGAAGTAAACCAAAGGGATTTTGTAGCCCAGGATACCAGCGTTCTTGCAGTTGCTTCCAGGATCTAAGTAGGGCTTCTCAAATAAAAACTTCAAGGGGAATAACCATGCAGAGTATTGAGATATGTTATTCTGAAAAAAAAACTAAAAAAAAAGATGCAAAGGAGTTGGAGCTTTTTAGAGAGGGAGAGAAATAAGGGACATATTTGGCAAGACCTCATCCTAAGAGATAATATTTATTGTTAATAAGGCATTTGACGTGAGGAGCGACTCTCTTGGCCAGAGCCCAATATGGAAGATTTGAGGCCAAACAGCAAGAGAAAACTCAAGTAGAGGAGGTTGAGGGTGCTCCGTGGTGGATCAGGAGATCTAAACTGCAGAAGGAAGACAATACAACTTAAAACGCTGCGTACTTAGAGCTGATACTGACGAGTTGCAGTATTTGGAGACCTACAAATTGCCAAAAGAGCGCGTATTGCAAATACTTGCTTTTCTAAGCCCAATCCTGCCCTCAGGCCCTTGGTTGAGGAGCTCTGGGTCTGTAGCTGCCGGGTTGATTTACTGTACACTCTCTTTATGGAGGAGGTGGGTTATGTTGCAAGCAGCAAAGTTCATATCCTTGGCTTGGAGTTTGTAATTACATTCCAAGTGGAAATACTTCACCAACACAGGCATAGATAGGACAGAGAGCAAAGAGGAGGCTTCTTTCGCTGTGGCTGGAAACACTAAGTTTTAAAAGCGGGCTTAGATAGGGACGGAGAGCAAAGAGGAGGCTTCTTTTGCTGTGGCTGGAAACACTAAGTTTTAAAAGCAGAATTAATACTAAATTCCAGCATTTACTATCCCAAGAATGACTTTAAGACTCTGGGGTGTTGTTTTTGTGCCTCAAAAATAAGTGTAGGAATATAATTTAAGGCTAAAGAATTAAAAACTTCATAAGGAACTGCAGAGTTAAGGAGTAACTGCTGTCTTTCCTCTTAGAACTGGCAGGTCAGGCTCTTTCTGGGTACCCAAACACACAGGGACTGCAGCTGTCTTCCTACCTGTGTCTTTAAAAAATTTGAAGATATACTTTAGGGAAAAAAAATACTACAGCACAACTTTGTGTAGTAAGATTTAAGTGAAAAATTAATTGCATTGTTGCAGGAGAGGAAATTACTTGGCTTATGCTTAGTGAAATACAGGAAACTTTGCTGTAATTATCTGGAAGGAGAGCGGCGTTGAAGGACATCTGTTAACTGTCTTTAATTTGTAAAATGTCATATCTGCTTGATTGGTTAGGTGCTGCTGTGGTTGTTTAAAAAAATAAAAAATAAATCTGGGTTATAAATTGTTATCTGTATTAAAGTTTGACTGTATTGTTTGGATTTGAGGGGCCAGAAATAGTTTAGTTAAACTTCACAGAAATAATTTAAAGCTGATCAAGTCATCTTGCTATGAGCTATATGCTATATAAAGTGGAAAATTAATTAACATTTCTGCTTCAGTCATTAAGGTACAGCTCCATCATATATGTTTTTAATAAAACTTTGCTTTCAGGTTTAGGTTTTCAATTTCAAGTCTCTATTATGCAACTTTTTTCTTCTTTTGCTAAAGGCTTTAATTGTCACACTTCAGTTCAAGCTGGCATTTCCATATTTTTCTCCTTCAGCCTTTTTCTCTGAGTGCCTTATGTTTTTGTCTCTCTATTAATAGGAAACTAGTAAAGTACATACAATTAATCTAGTTCTCCGTATCAAAGAAAGAAATTCCTGAAATTGCATCAGTCTTGCAATTCTTCCTGAATTCAGCTCTACGCCAGACTTCTCCACTTGAAATTTCCAGTATTAAGGATTATTTGCCAAACGAAGAAGATAAAATGCTGCCAGTGATTTCTCTCAAACTTGTAATCTAACTGCAAACAAGATAGATAAATATTTCTCAAGCAGACTCTCCTCTCCAGCTTCCCAGTATATTGTGAGCTACTTGTAAGCTTTCTGAGCCGCCTTTATCTTATCTTGGTATTTTCTGTGAAGGCAAAGCACGTTCTTTGCTCTGAAAAGAGAGGCAGGGAGGCAGTAATATCTATTAATCAGCTTGTTGACAGTAGGCAGCCAAGCTGCCTGTATGGTTGTCAGTGCAAAAAGGCAAGAGAGCGTGGCTGAAACCAAGCTGCTGAAGAGGTTGGAGATGCTGAGCATTGACCTTCTTTATGGCAGGCTCACAGCAGAAGATGCTGTGGACTTTGCCACTGAATTTTGAGAGCAGCATTTGCTAGACTTTCTGCGTGCTGCTATGAAGAATTTTGGTGAAAGCTCTGTGCAGAGCCGGATGACTGATAACTCTCCCTGGTGAGATACGGTACTTGGCGCATGGAATTTAAAAAAATGAAAGAATTAGCCACAGGAAGAAAACAGTTCCCTATTGTGCAATTCTTGTCATCATCGAGGTTTCGTCAGATTTATTCCTTTTGTAAAGCTCTTCAGGACTGAAGACACCAGCACCAAAATCGTTCAGGTTGAGAGAGCTGAATCCTCGTTTCTTGAGAAGCCCTACTGTCTCTCTTTGCCTTTAATGAGGTTTTTTTTCAAGAAGCATCACTCCAGATGATGCACGGTATTTGCAATTGCATAATCAGCATGGGTCTCGGCCGCCCATGCATTCAAATTTCTCATTACTGGATGTCTACTTTTATCTTGTATACTTATGGTTTTTTTTCCTTGCAGCATTTCATTTGAACTGCTTCTGTGATAACTTTTTGTCTCTTCAAGTGCTAGAGCGTTAAGGTGGTTTTTTTCTCCTTTCCTTTTACCTTTCACACCATTTTGACCTAAATAGCCCTTGTCATTCCAGGTTTATGTATTGAAACGACCACACGTGGATGAGTTTCTTCAGAGGATGGGAGAGCTCTTTGAATGTGTACTCTTCACAGCCAGTCTAGCCAAGGTTTGTTTCTCTCTTCATCCCATTGGCCCTTACGGTGCTGATCAGTGGACTTTTGGTTGGGTTTTCTATGGATGATTATTGCCACAGTTGGTACTATCTTAATTTTTCCCCTTCTTTTCTGCTTCTTTGTCTGACAGTGTGTACTTTGTCTGCTAGTGTGTGGGTAAGTGTTTCCATGGTAACACCATCACATATGGGCTTGTCTCATAATGTAGCCTCCATGCATTGCTCATAATGCCAATATGAAAGGCTTACAAGTTACCATGGTTATAGTGAGAAATTAGAACAAATAGCGTGCGAGTAAAGCAGTATATTAAAGCTGGGCATGAAATAAAAGGCACTGTGTTTAACACTATCTACATGATCAACCGGTGATTCAGAAATTTGCTGCATATGAAAACTGGGAACACTTTTTTTTTGTTGTTCTGTCAAGGTGCAATTACAATCTGGAGGTAGAAAAATCAGATGCTATAAAGCTTGAAACGCCAGCAGGAATATTTTGTGCCCTCTGGTCTGCAGTAGCAGTAGTGCCTCGTTGGTAGTTTTGTGGTAGATGTTACAGTAGTAGACATCTTAAATTCTTCACTACTTTGGATGTATTGTCGTTGTGGTGTCGTGTTTAAAATAATTATATTGTTTATTTCTAAATAATACTCCAGCATGGTAAGCTACTCCAACCTAACATGGAGATGATGGGACAGGACCCACAGACGGGTGGTCTGATAGAGTATCCTTAGCAGAGGATTCTCCCTGCACTCTGTTTACCATGTTCTGTTTAGTCACACTGTGAAAATGGTAAATAATGGAACTATTTCATACTGCAGATAGATCTCTAGCAGTTTTCATAGTCAAGAGATGATTGATTTCAACATCAGTTCGGTTTCTGAGTTTAAAAGATAGGAAATGGTAACTCCTGTCCTGCAAAAATAAGTTATAAATGGCATTTTCAAGTACATGCCTATTTCATATTCTGGTCTATTTGGATACTTTTCCTCGGGTGGTTCATATCAATTGTGGGATTGTAAGCTGTGCCTTACTTGAAGTATCATATGTAAAATGAGAATTTCCTAGTATTGTAGATGGGTATTTTTCCTAATAACAGCTTTGTCTGATCTTTTATGGGATCTTTTATGGATCTTTTATGGCCCAATTATGCAATTTGGTAATCTGAAGATTTTTACCGACCCAGTGGCTCCGTGGGCATCGTTTGAAAAAGCTGCATCAAGCTTGGATGCCTTCATTGCAGTTTATTTTCAGAGGCACATGGACATGAATCAGCTGTGGAAATGGCTTCGTATAGATTTTCTGTTAGCGTTGGTTGGTTTTATGGTAATGTTAGGTGAGATCTCTGGATCCATCAGCTTCTAGGGTAATTAGAAGTTGACCCTAAGAATAAAACCTAATTGATAAATCACAGAAAACACTAGAGTTCACGTTAGCCTTCCATAGAAAGATAACTGTCCCACTTTTGCGTTATCTATTAATCACTTCAGGTTTCCAGGCGTATAAGTTAATTAACAAGGAGCAGGAAGAAAATGAAGAAAGGGCATTTTATCTGAAACTCTTTTCTGTCCCTCCTTTGTATAGTTCTGTGAATCTGCCCTGTTTGCACATTGCTAACTTCACCTTTCTGACTTCTGTTTTTAAGTATGCAGACCCAGTAGCCGACTTACTGGATCGCTGGGGTGTGTTCAGGGCAAGGCTCTTTAGAGAATCCTGTGTTTTCCACCGAGGAAATTATGTGAAGGATCTGAGTCGACTGGGACGTGAGCTGAGTAAAGTTATTATAGTAGATAATTCTCCTGCATCTTACATCTTCCATCCTGAAAATGCAGTAAGTATTCTTAGTACTCGAAGTAGTCAAGCGTAACTTTTATCATCCTGGTCTTTGCCCAGACTTTCTGATTCAGAAAATAGCTTTTCAGAGTGTTAACTGCATGGGTTTCTGTCTTTTCTTAGACTGCTGCAGGTAGGTTCTAGTATTTGCTGCAGGATGGTGATGGACTAGGGCAAATTGATTTTGACAGTGTGTCATAGTCATGACTGTTCGTCTGCTTTCAGTTATAGTTTTTGGTAGGAAATCCAGCAGCTTTGAGAAATACTACCTCTAAAAAGTGAAGCTGCCCTCCAGCCTAGTTTTTCTTCTTTGGAGTGGTGATTACAGAAAGGATGGTTTACTTGAACTGCTTTTGGTACTCCAGCTTTTTTCATTGTGTGAATGAAAATATTTATTAGACAAGATAATTAATGTTTTACTGGTTACAATCTGAGTTCTGTATTTGTGGCTAAGGGGAAGGGAAAAAAAAAATCAAGATCTTGCTGTGTTAGTGCTTCTCCCTTTAAGTATTTTTGTGATAACTCGGTTCCTAATCAGAAATGTTCGGTAACAAGTTCATTAAGTTTTAGGACTAAGGACAAAGGGCAGGCAGCAGTACTTCAAGGGAGATTAATTAAGAGCACTGCATGTTTTCACGGTGTTTTTGTATCTGCTGGAATGGTCTGGCGCTGGCTCCATCCATTGCTGCAATCAGGACAGATGCTCACATCTGTTTTCTAGCTGCCAGGACAGCAAGCTGGAACTCCCCTCAGATCTACTGACTTTTAAACAGCCAGGCTGTGCAATGTTTTCTTTGATGTTTTTAGGCTGCCTTCTTTGTGAACTGTTCAAATTAACCTAGGAAACTTTTATTAGGGACCCTGTTTTGCATGGTCCCGCCTCTCTGGAATACCTTTCTTTTTTTAACGTGAGCTATTTATCTCGCAGCAATCAGCTTTTAAGTTCAGATTCTGATAAATAAGTTCAGATTCATCTGAGAAACGATTGGTTGAAAACATTTTTCTGGTTGGTGCCACGCACGGGTTAAAGTTGCTATTTATAATGACCAGGAGCTGTAGCTCTAATTTATGTTCATGGTTAAAATTAAAAACCTGATCCAGATCGTCATTTGGTATCTCGGAATTCACTGCCAAGAAAATAATGAGCTGTAGATTTGGGAGATGAAATTAAGGGCCTTGTCAGAGTGGTTTAATCATGTATAGAAAAGTGCTGTTAGCTAACTGTTATTTGAGTCTCTGCAGAAAGCAGAGCTGGTAACAAGATCCAAGATAGTCTTTAAAAGACCTCAATGTACTTCCATAGTGAAGATACGTGGAGCTCCCTCCCCAAATCCAGCCCGTGTACTCAAGGAATGGTGTTACATGCATTATTTTCTGAACCCGCATGCTCAAGGTCTTATATTTTAATCAGAGAACTGTTCTGTACTCGCTGTTTAAATATTTCCTCCCCAACCTCGTGCCAGAAGGGGTTGTTGCTGCATGCCTGTGTTTAGTGACTCACGCTCATAACACTTCGGGGGTGGGGGGAAAGACTTGCCCGTAAATGAAGTGTCAGTTGAGCTTCATAACCCCTGCCTGCCTTCCAGAATATTTTAAGTATCGAGGAGGCAGAGCAAATTGAGCTGCCTAGCGGTGGGTTATAGAATCATCTGGGTTGGAAGGGACCTTCAAGATCATTTAGATCAACCCAACTCTGACAAAAAGGAAAATATCACTAAATCATGTCCCCCAGCACCACGTCAGTCCGTCTTTTGAACATCTCCAGGGATGGTGCCTCAACCCCTTCCCTGGACAGCCCATTCCAATGCTTGAAAACCCCTTCAGTGCAAACATTTTTCTTAATATCCCACCTGAACATCCCCTGCTGCAACTTGAGGCCATTTCCTCTAGTCCTGTCATCTGTGACTTGGGAGAAGAGACCAACCCCTCCATCTCTACAACCTCCTTTCCAGGTAGTTGTAGAGAGCTATAAGGTCAGCTGCATGCCAGCTGTTCTACAATCTCTACAGCCTCCTTTCCAGGTAGTTGTAAAGAACAATAAGGTCAGCTGCATGCCAGCTGTTCTACAGTTGAATTTGGAAGGTCAGCTGTTCTACAGTTGGATTTGGGGTTGATGTTGCATACTAGAAAACGTGGACTTGACTCTGCCTGAATGCTGACGACTAGCAGTTTGCCTTACTGGGACAGCAGCGTTACAGGACATCCACATAGGCAAAACTCACATGTTCTTCACATCAGGAAATCATCTTAATATTTATCGGTTGCTTTGTTTTCAGGTGCCTGTGCAGTCCTGGTTTGATGACATGACAGACACAGAGCTGCTAGATCTTATTCCTTTCTTTGAAGGACTAAGCAAAGAGGAAGAAGTTTACAGTATGCTTCATAAACTCTGCAACAGGTAGCCCTTAACTTTGACTGACTTCTGCTCCTAGATTGCAGTTGCTAGAGGCTGTCTCCATCTTTTCCAGCTCTTTCAAATGTAAGCTTTGGGGAGGTCACCCCTGTCAGAAGTGCTACTCTTGATCTTCCTGTTACATTGGACACGAAGGACAATCATGAGTGATGCTATTAAGCCTTCAGAAGCCTGACTCCTAAGGTCATGTGTTCAGACTACTTTTTTTAAAGGAAAAAAAAAAAAAAAAAAAGAAGCTATTTTAAATGGGACTCTTTTAATGAATTTCATAAATGGACATCTTTTACTGGATCAGCTTTTCTTAAAACATGCCAAAAAAGAAGCTTGTATTTCAGCAGTTGAATTTCTCTCCCTTTCTTCCCCTCCCACTATGCAGACAATTTTACCCCCCTGCTTAGAGCAGTTGACCTGACTCTGAATTTTTTCTTACAGAATGAAGTGCCTTTTTGAATGTTATTTTAAGATAAAAATTCATTTTTGTATAAGACGTATTTCCAGACATCTTTTAGTCTTGTATTGTCTAAATGCTTTAAAAGGAAAAAGGAAAAATTTTATAGAGCACTGTAATATATAACAAAGGAAAAAGTTGAAACAAAGATGCTGGGTTCCTGTCTCCACAGTGACATTAAGATGTATTACATTTTGTCATGCTCAGAAGGTTTTAAGCGTTTGTGGGAGGGATGATTTGGGTTAATTACATGGTTGTTTCACTGATCTGATTTTGGGCACAGTTTTGAACATATCTGCAGTTGTTTGAGTATTAGGGAATGATGGCGTTGAGAAAACAAGGTGGCTGATAGACCTAAAGCACCTTTTCTTCTAGACAGATTAAGTTCTATTGTCTCTGCTTACGCACAACTGCCATGCCTCTCTTTTTTTGGAAAACCATTATCTTGGGAGAATGTGGAGGAGATCTATTTATTAGTTTAAGATTCTTTTCTTAAAAAAAAAAAAAAACAAACCCATCTGGGTAAGCTGGATCTGCATTGAGCTGGTTGGAGTACTTTTTTCTTTTAATTGCTGCTACTGTATACTCACCAAATGGAGTTGACCATCGGCTGTTATACTGTTTTTGCCACTGTGCCTGTGCTATGAAATATTTTCTGTAAGCTGCAAACTTGGGCAATAAATAAAATGCAGGCTTCATAACCCACCCCTATGTATTAATCCTGCGGTATCTGATACACCAGAAAACTCAGTTAAAGGTGACCTGCAAAGGAAAAATTATATTTTTTTTTTTTTAATTGGGATGAGGCTCTCTCCTTTCTTTGGTATATTAAAATGCAAAAAGTATTTTTCCCACCTCTCTTGATTTGTATTTCTTCCTCCTCAAGGTGTAAGGCACAGATGGGGAGCTTTATTGAGTCTTGCTGGAAGGGCAGGAGTTACTAGCCTAGACTAAAAGTGGTCCTCTGGCTTGGGAGTTGAGTAAGTCTCCTCTCTGAATCTGAGAACCTCCTTAGCATCTTCTGTAGTGTCATTGGTGCCCTTTTGAAATAACAACTTTTAAGTGTTTTAAGCCTTTGAAGAACGAGGCACACCTATTTATTTATTTTTCCTTTCCAGTGTCACCTTTTAATTATTTTCCGCACCAGAAATCTACAAAAGTAACAATTCCAGCTGTGTTTGGCTGTCATCAGAGAAAACTAAATGGAGTAGTTGGTGCTTCTAATGAGCCTAGTGCTAAATTCTGAATGGTAGACCCCCTTTGCCTTCTCTTATTTCACTTGACAAGTCTTGATGACTTAGAAAAACAAAAAAAAATAGTAATTTTTTTGGCTATGGACTGGGATTGTCATCCTTGTCTTAAAGCATGGGTGAAGCAGCTTAACAAATCCATTCATAGACGGGCAGGCCAGGCCTCCGCTAGGCCGTGAGTAGGTTGTTGTGGGTGCAGTATAAAACAGATTTAATTTTATCAAAAAGATTTCTTGGCACCCCCCGCCGTGGCAGTGCAGCTCTGTCCCGTGGCGAGGGACGGCAGGGGCAGCCCCCTCCCCTCTCCTCAGCCTCTTAGGGCATCTCCGTTCTGTTTTCTTACCAGTTGGCATTACCCTTAGTACTGTAGAGTTCTGTGCCACAACAAAAGACTAAACTGTCAGATTTTAAAAGGAAAAAAAAAAAACAACAAAAAAAAACCAAACAACCAACTTTCATTGTTGATTTAAAAAAAAAAAAATGAGAAAAAAGGACGTATGGATTCTGGTTAGTCCATTAACGTTTACTTTCAGTTTGAGATTGTTTAATTGTGTGTTTGACTTCAGAGTAACGAAACTGTAAAGCTGCCAAAAAAGTTGTTCTCTGAGCAGTATTTTCAACTGCGTGTGTCGCCTCCGGGGCTTCGGACGCAGTTTGCAGGGAAGTATTCAGGTTGTAGTTAGTTGTGCAGGTAGGAACGGCTGAGAGGAAATTCAAAGACTTTCTCGCTAGCGTTAGACCAAACAATCTTCCAATTAGACAATAAACAACCCCACCGAGACGTTGCCATGTAACGGTTGTGACCTGGTGTACGTGAGACAAACCATGTCATGAGTTTGCATTTCTGAAAGCAGCGATTTCATGAACCAGTTGCCTTAAGTCTGTGAATGAATGTTGATTATTAAAGTGTCTTGTATTGTTTTAAAATCCACATAGAATGGACAACTGAACTTCTGCACCAGCTTCTGGAAGAATGGTTCTGATGGTGGTCTGTACAACCAGACACTCGCTCTGTATTGTTTATTTTGGGCTGTTGAAATCCACAGATTTCAAAAAAAACCACCAACTTATTTTAACTTAGTACAGCATCAAAATGACACTTGTGACAATACAAAGGCGAAAAACTGAACAGCAGTTTTGATCTCTGCTATTATATTAAGAGCATTTTCTATAACTTCTCATTAATTTTTTTTTTTAACTCATTCCCATCGAAATAAAACTCCAGAGTGCTCTGAGGTCAGGTTTGCACTTCCCTGGGTATTCAAATTTGGCCAAAGGGATCAAACTGTCCTCGTCGTTTATTTTGACTCTTGTCTGTACTTGAAATTTCAAGCGTTAAGTTTGTGTGAAAATACATACACTATATATTCAGAGTTTCTAGATTTTAACAAAGCAATATAGTTCCGTAAAGTCAGATGAGGAGCGGAATGTTTGTAAAATTTGCAATACGGGTATTTGATTGTATTTTAAATACAAGATTTTAAAAATGAAAATAGGAAAAAAAAATACTTGTTTCCTGAATTTCTTGCATATTTTGAAGCACGGTTTCTGCATGGGCTGTTCCAAACCCTGGGTTTCAATTCTATTTCTGGATATTATAGAAATATTAAAAGGTCTTTTCCGGTTGGTCGTTCTGTTCTGCTAAAGAAACGCTGCCTGGCCTGAAGTTCGTTGTCCTTTTTATGTCGGGTTCAAAAAAGGTTTTTTGCCTGTATAGGTATTTTTAAATTAAGCTGTAAGGCAGAATGCCTTAGATTCTTGAAATTCCACGGAAGTGTTCCCATTAAATCGCCATTTGTAAACCAGGGCTGTGCGCGGAATCCTTGGTCACCACCAGGAAGCCTGGGCAGGTTTGGGACGGAAGGTTACGGTATTGCTGGGTTCATTTAGGTAGCTTTGGAAGAATAACTTGTCTATTTGATTTGCCTTTTTTAATCTCCTTTTAAACAGCAACGTTACACACGGAAGGAGCTCAACACCTGAAGAGGTTTGGTTATCGGTGTGTGCGGTCACTTCAGCACAGCGTGATCTTGTTTAGACTGGTTGGGGACAATAAATATATCTAAGTGACACCAGTGTGTAGTGATGTTGCAGCTTTGGAAATTTCAGTGTAAATTAAAAAAAAAAAAGAAAAATCTGTAGCTATATAATTTACAAAGACATAATCCTATGTTTTACAGATTCTTTTTAAACTAATAAAACACAGTACCGCACAGCCCTATTTGTAAAACAAAAACAAGTTTGTGCCTCTGATTTCCAAGGTGCTGTGATGTTTTGCCTTCGTGGGGCGAGGAGGGGCCGGTGAGACTTGCGTGGGGCAATTGCTTAAAAAAAAAAATAATCTCTGGGCTAACTATGCAAAACCAGCTGTCAGCTTTCTGTTTCACATTATATTGTAAAAATCCAGCTGACTATTTCTTTTTTTTTTTCTTTCTTGTTAAAAATCTATTGGGAACTTCTTAACAGAGGAGTAAGCAATGGAAACGTTTCTTTTTCTTTCTTTTTTTTTTTTCTTTCTAATAATGGAGCTGTTTACACTTTAATGCAATGAACAATCCAGCGATACTTGAGAAACACTACAGATACCATATGAGTGTTTTCAGGAGAGAGGAGTGGTTGTCAATCAGGTATTGAATGGTTTCTTTACTGTCACAAATAAAAAATTAACAATATGGTTACTTGTGCATGTAATACTTCTCTGGGAAACAAAAAAAAAAAATAATAACAATTTCTGCACTTCTCCTTCAGTAACAGTCACTGCCCTACTTTGACAGGGACTTTATTCCTGCTGGTGCACATCCGTGTTAGAGAGTAAAATCGCCCATCTCTCTTCCATCCTCTTTTGAAGTCCTCTTTTGAGGTCCAGGGCTCCTCATTGATGCCCTGGCACCTGGTTGTGCAGACAGAGCTGCTGAACTGCTGCTGAACCCTGCGGCGTAAATCGGTGGCAACTCTGGCAGATGTTCCAGCTGTTTGGATCTCTTGGATGAGATCACACCATAATTTGTTCAAAGTCTCAAAGCTGTGTGACTTCTTTTTGAAGGGCTTTACTTCAGCTACTCGAATAGCTGTTCTTAACATCACTGCCGTAATCCAAATGAATATCTGAATTAAACGCTTTATTTGGTTGGAAAGTCTATTTTGGGACTTTTTCTCTGACACAGTAAGACTTAGGCAGAGCCTTCCTTTCTAGGAAAAGGCACATATTATTAGTGCTTTATGAGCAGAAAACCTCAGGCCTGTTAGAATAAGCAGCTGGCTCAAGATAGCACATTAGTTGCAATTAAAAATATTTGTTAGTTATTCCTGTGATCGGTTGAAATGACCTAAACTGCCTTTACTTTGTACTGGTGGGTTGGGTTATCTGATTATATTTTTTTAAGGGTTTCTGGTGGTTTTAGGTTGTTTTTTTTGTTTTGTTTTGTTTTTAGTTTTACCAATCTCCTTAGCTGCTACTTAGGATAAAGATGCCTTTCTTTCACTCAGTAAAACAAATACGTCAAAATTCATAAAACAGCTCATTTATAGTGGTGAGAAAGATACTGTTCTGTTGTAGCTGATTGAAAGCAAGTGTTGGCAAAATCAAATCCACCATAGTCTATAAATGTACCTCTATGCATACGCCTTCCTATATTATTTCCTCCCCCCTCCTTTTTCTTGTGTTCTGACTCAGAAGGAAAGCCAACAGCTTTAAAATTCCCTGCAAGATGGACCAGGGCTCTTCCAGGTGGGAAGAGCGGTCATCCTGGCAAGCAACCTCCAGCAGTTGTCCTGGCAAAGCCACCTTCCCCCATCCAGACTTCCTACCAACCCAGCCCTGCTGGCAGGAGACCAGGCCAAGTTCTCCTGGACCTCCTCTTGTTGGTTCTGCTGGAAAAAAATAAATGATCTTTGGGTAATAGATTGGTTTGGGCAGGTTGGCAAACTCAAACTTGAAAAGCTTCCAGGCGGGTTTTGTTTTAAAGCCTTCTCAAGTGATGTTTAAAGGGAGCTGTGCTGAGGAGCAGGTTGTCCTGTAATTGCCCGGTGCCACGTTAATCAGCATTTCTGAAGCACAGGACATACAGGAACATCTTGGACTTTAATAGAGATGGATTGGATTCAGTAAAGTGGGTCTGCATCTGCGCTCACACACCTTCCCACACAGCAGTTTGAAAAGGTTAGATCTGGTCATCGCTTAAATGGGCAGCAAAGGGAGTTTTTTTGAGGTGATGTTTCAGCTTCGCTGTATCCCCCGGACCTCGGTGGACCCTCTGCTGCGTCGTCCCTCCCACCGCTCTCCTCCGTGCGACTGGCATCGTTCCATTTTGCAGCCACCTTTTAATTGAGTGATGTAGATGCATTTGATGGTGATGTAGATTGCAGGAAAATGCTGGATGAAGAAAGGAAACGCAGCTGGTCCCCGTCAGCCATCGTCACGGGCAGGACTCCAGCCAGGAGAAGGCTGTTCCTACGGACAGAGGAGTCACCGTTGAGCCAGAAACCTGTCACCCCCTCTGAGATCCCATGTTCTTCTGGAGAAGGAGGGCCGATGGTTGTGTTGGTGCAGACGGGATGTCCACCACCTCTCCAGTTCCCAGCATTTCAACGAGTGTTGCGCTTGAAGAGTCTGAGGGTTGTTGGGAGGAGTTACTGGCTTGACAATGGGTTGTTCTCTTTATCAGATTTTAATGAGCTTTTGTGATTAAAACCAAATTTCTTTACAGTGTAACTTCGTGATTATTATTTTTTTTTTTCATGCTTTGATTCCGTTTGACAATAAACTATCCGTGTTATTTTTTTCATCCTCTCCATGTCTGATAATGCATGTAGTTGAGGGCTGACCCCAGAAATCCCCCTCTGCCCTCCACATTCCATTCTCCTTGGGGGGAATATCGGGGAGGGGGGTGGGAGGGAAGCAAAGACTTGGATAGAATGAGGGCAGAAACTTCTCGTTTCATTCCTGTCCCAACTCTTTAGACTTGATGGGCTTTAATAAAGATTAAAGCTTTGAGTGCTGAGCATCGAGGGCTTCTTCCTCCAGCAGCCTGTTTGGCAGGCAGGTCCAGTTCCTGTTCTTTTTTTTTTTGTTAACCTGCTGAGATCTGAATTAAACCATCTTGCTTCTTCCAAAGCCTGGAGATGAGAAAGAAGCAAGATCCTGGATTCTGGGGTGGGAGGGGAATAAGGTTCCAGGAGAAAAGAGCTGATGGGGCCTCAGGGGGGTTTCTCTACAGCTGTGTTTGCATTATGGGCAGCATCCCTTGTTCTGCGTTGAAGGGCACCACGTGAAGTAGAAGGTTGGTTCCTCACCTGCCTGCCCTTGGGTTCCACGGGTCAGGGGTGGCCCAAGTGCAGATCAGGAGCTGCATCACCCCCTTTTCTTCCAGGCTACAGGGGCATTTGGATGTGTAGCACTTGGCAGTGTCTCTTGTGAACACATCCATCGGTGGTGACATCAAGCAGGAGACCTGATACTGGGTCTTGGGTGTACCAGTGACCAGTCTGCGGTCAAGGAGCATTTATACCTAAAGTGAACTGGGGAAGCTGCCTTTCACCTGAGTTGGATTGGTTCAAGATGACCACGTGAAGGTGCTTTTCACCTGGCACATGTCCCCAGCTTGGGTCTCCTGACAGTTGTGTGTAAGTACCCTGCTGAATGAGTCTGGTGGAAATGAGGGATGTGCGAGTGGATCATCCCACAGGAACATGGAAGTCTGACGTATTTTCATGTGTGTTTTTTACAGGAAAATCATTTTGTAAATAGTTTTAGTTTTGGGGGTTTTTTCCCAGATCTTTACCTAATGACCTGGGTACTATATGCCGTTCTGTAAGAGGTTGAGACCCATAAATATGTGGACAATATATGCTTATTTTTTTGGCACCCTGACTTTTTGGCCATAATACCTGGTAACTTGGGCCTTTTTGTCGAGGGGAAGATTTTTGGCAAGACCTGAGCCCATTTCTAGCTTGTTGGGGCCATGTGCTGGGTAGTAGCTCACTGGTCCTGGTCTCTAATGGGCTGAATAGATCTCAAAATAATAACTGGAAGATTGCTAACAACTATTTGGGATGATGATGGTTGCAGCTGGAAAACGGGTGGGCTGTTGCATCCTGGAGAGGAGGATGAGGAGGCAGAGATACGGGAGCTGGGGGAGGTCCAGGGTGACTTTGTGGCACTGGACTGGGGTGGGCTGAGCTGCAGCATGGTCTGGGGGTGGGTGGACTTGGCTTTTATGCGTCTGTGATCAAAGTCTTTGGGAAAACAAAGAGGTTTTCAAAGGCTTGGGCCGTGCAGGGCTGGGTCACACCACGAGATGGTGCAGCTGTGCAGCGTTGGCTTTTAAAGGCGCCGTAAAGGAAATTTGAAAGACCTTATCTCAAGTGAAAACATCACCACAGCTTTGGTAGGTGAATCTCCTGCCGAGGTTGCACCCCACAGGTCCACGGATAACTTCTTCCTTTGGGTAAAAACCTCTCCTAGTGTTTCAGAGGCAATTTGATTTCAGTCTTCATCTGCCCGAGGAATGCTGAACTTCCTTTGCAAAAGGAACTGGTGTCTCCACAACTGAACACAGGACAGGTATGTAATTATCAATGTTAATTTTAGTCACTGGGTTGTGTTTTTTTTTCTTCCATGAAGAAGATGTGATCAGAGCATGATAAATAAAGAGGGAAGTCACCATTTCTCAAATAGTGGAATTCAAAACAATGTTGCACCTTCCCTAGTGCAGTAAACCTTTTTCCTCTCAAAGCTTTGCTGCTAACCTTTGTCTTTCTTTCCAAAGCAACGTGATTTTAAGCTGTTTGGGGTTTTCCTGAAGTACGTCGCTAGGACTGTGGACAAACATGATGTCTTCAGGATGAGGGAGGAAACAAGAAGAAAGAAATGTGTGTGGTGCCAAGCTGGCAGGTGTGTACCAAGGCGTCGCTCCCCGAGCATCTTCCGCCTCCCCACCGGCACCGGTGCAGATGCCCATGGTGTGACCAAGACCTGAGCCAGCACGGGGACAGGGTGGGACAGCAGCCAGGCAAGGGGATGGCTCCAGGCCAAGCCAGGAAGGCAGCATCTGCAGGGGAATGGACAACACTTGCAGGGCTGTGTCTCCCCGTTGGTGTATCGTCTGGTTTCACCTGCCCAACATCCGTGTTTGCTGCAAGAAGGTGGGTTTGTAGCCTGGAAACCCCCCTTGCAGCCCATCTTCCTGGCTTTCTGCTCCCTTTGCTTTTTCAGGTGCGTGCTCCTTCCCACCTGGAAGAACCTGGAGCTCCTGCCTTCCTCCCTGGAGAAGAGAAGGCTCGGGTTGGACCTCATCATAGTGTTGCAGTACTTAAAAGGTGGCTACAAAGAGGATGGATGCTGTCTCTTCATAAGGAACCATGGAGAAGACAAGGGACAATGGGTACACGTTGGACCAGGAGGGATTTTATCTTGATGTAGGAAAGACATATTTTACAGTGTGAACAACCAATCACTGCAACAGCCTCCCCAGGGACATGGTGGAGTTGCCATCCCTGGAGGTTTTCAAGATGAGGATGCTGGATAACCTCATCTAGGCTTCCCTTCCCATGAAAAGTTGGACCAGATGATTTTTTGAGGTCCCCTCCCAACCTGAGCTGTTCCATGATTTTATGATTCCCATGTGTCATCTTCCACCTCCTGTCTGGCTCTCCCCAGGAACAGGGTGCCCATCTCTCCTGGTGAAGGAGGAGGGCTCTGCAGTTCCGGCAGCCGATGAGGATTCAGCCGATGGGGGTATCACCCCAGCTCTGCTACAAACCCTCCAGCTTTCCTTGGACATGCTGCTCGCTTCTGGCTTGGTTGTTCCCCCCTTCTTTTAGAAGAACGAAGAGATTTCCCTGAAGGTTGGTTGTTTTACTTCTCCAAGTGCAAACACTGGATTGGAAGTTCACACCAAACCCTTTGTATCCCGCCCCTTGTTAATCCTGGGGAGCAAAGCTGCTCTTCTTCTTCTTCACAATACTTCATTTCGCGTGTATCGTTTGATTTAGAGAAAATGACGTTACTGGACAGGAAGATGAGACAACGTGGGGCCAAGAGATGCTGATGGGTGTCTCCAGATGTGTATGGGAGAAGCAAACCCTATCTGGCTTCACCAGGGACCGTGACACACCAGGGTGAATCGCTTGTGTTTAACGTGAAGGTTCATTCATCCCTGTACAGCTGCTCGCATATTTTGATGAGGTGTGTTTGTTGACGTCAGCTGCCCTTGCAAAGAGCAGAAAAGGTCATTCTTGTGGATTTCCATAAGCACTGCAGGTTTTCCTGCCTTCCCGTGGTGAGGGAGAGGCTGCCTTGAAAAGTTAAATCCCAGGCTGGGATCCATGCCTGGGCCAAATTCCTGGCTTTTCTAGGTGACAGCTTTGCCATCACAGGCAGCCTCCAGCAGCACGAGGCCCTGGGGGTGCTGGAGGTAAAGGGGATGCTCCTGCAGGTGACACCTCATCTCTGTCAGCAAAGCAACGATGTTCTCTGTGCACCAAAAACCAGATTATCTGTGAATAAGCTCACGAGATGCAGAATGAAGGTGCAACTTCCTTAATGTAACCCAGCCAATATAGAGAATATAAATTAAAAGGAGAGAAATTCCCTGCAAGGCATTTCCCAACCTTTGCAGTGAATGCCATACGCCAGGAAAAAGGTCAGGCTCCAGGGAATGACTTGATGTTACCTGTGGCTCTGATTGCTCCAAGATCCTGTTTCTCCTTGAATTGTTTCAGTTGCTTGGATGCTGTTTGAGGTACAGGCACTTCTTACCTCCACTCCAATGGAAGGGAAGGAAATTATCTGAATTCCTGTTGTCTGTGGGGTAAAAAAAAATTCACAAATAATGTGTTTTCTTATATCTAAATTCCTGGGGTAAAAAAAAATTCACAAATAATGTGTTTTCTTATATCTTCTGTAAAGGCTGCAGCCTCATCTCATCTCATTCTGTATCACTCTGGCCCTCCTGAAAATCCACGCTTTGGGAGCTGGGGGAGAAATGCTTTTCATCAGCCTGTGGTGAGTCAGCTACAGGCAGCCAAAGGGAACCGGTTTTTCTGGCTGTTTTAGATTTTCTAAATTTCATTTTTTCAGAAAAATCAAGTTTTTCTTTTAACTGCTTCATAACGGGGTTGTCAGCTCTGATGCTTTCTTGGTATGGTTTTAAAATACTGAATTTTATGTGCTCTCCAACAGGCTGGATTGCGCAGTCACCAGGTTTGTGTGCTCTCACCCATTTTTAGGGATCTCACCACCAAAACGGGTACCAGCTCCATCCTGGAGACAGTCAGAAGTGTTGAAGCAGAGTGACTAATTAGTCATAATAGCAGGTGCCCTTTCCTAATATCTTTTTCAGCTTTAGAGCAGATATCCCCTGAGAACTATTGCTTGATATTAGTGAAGCAGAAATCAGATCATTATGAACTTCCATAATTAAAGAGAATGGCAGCTCATCCTCCAGCGAGAGGAGCACTTTGATAAATGTATAGAAGTGCTCCAGCAAATGAAGCGGATCTGGATCTGATGAGACTTAACCCAGAGGCAAGTGAAACACCAGTTAGCTGCCGAGGTGCTGGGATGAGAAATCAAAGTGGTTTATAGGTCTCTCTGCCTTCAGAGTAGAAGAAAGCAGTCACCATTTCGTGTTCCTCAGTAGCCTTGTAAGAAACATGGTGGCAGAAGGGGGAATGCTCCATTGAGGGGACATGTACCCATTTCACAGGTGGGAAATGGCTGGGGGAGGAAGTACAACTCCAACCCTTCTCCATCTCCCCAGGAGAACATCACTCCAATTAGA